CTCCCAACAGTCCAACGTTTTGTCACAACATCAACACATTTGAGGGTTGTTGCGGTGCAGTGATCTTCTTTCTTGATCAGAACCAACATGTCATCGTTGAATTAGAGCAAAAGTTCCATGGCATGGCGGTGGGTGTTCATGTTGGCGGGTTGGATGAAGACCAATAACATTGCGTTCCTTTTGTCGTGAATTGAACGACTTGCTGTGTGTTCCGCTTGCATGGTATGGTATGATTCTACCAATCTAGCTATCCAATAGCATCCATCTTGTTGTGGCATGGCTCTTCTTCTATCTTGGCTGGCTGGCTAGAACGACTGCAGGCACCGGTATGCTCCCACGGCCAATCTATCTGACTAGGAAGAGTCGCGACGCTGCAGTGGTTCGTCGATCGATCGGTACCCCCACCAACGGTGTTCGTGAAGAACGTAACCCCCGCAAAAACAAATCACAACGATACTGTACTCTCGGCATCACAACGTTGTCGGTGGGAACGATTGAGTGAGAGCAGCAGGGCTCTCCCTCATGGAACGGTACTGCCGCTCTCGTCGTGTTTGGCCTGTTCTTGCAATAATAATTCCTGACAGTTGACGACGCTAAATGTCTTGGACCATTCGTACAATTCGATATCCATCTTGTTCTTTTCGCGTAGATAGTCCAAGACGGCCGGGTAGGGAATGAGTTCTTCCAGGGACGGTTCTGGTTGAGTGTCGTGGACAAAATTCCACTGGAACTTGTTCGTATCCATTCCCAATTGCTCGACGACGATAAATTCCAACCCTTCCCGCAAACACTGCAAGTCGACGACAAAGGTGAATCGGCGCACCAGTGCTTGCGCCGCTTCCACATAGTCGTGGGATGTGTGCGACCCATTGCAACACGTGGCATCCGACAAGATGCGGAGTGCGTAATTGTTGTTGTGTGTCGGCTCATGAGCGAATTGCCACCACTCCTGTTCGGTGGCATTGTGATGGGTGAAAATGGACGGATATTTAGTAGTAATGTAGGAATCTCCGGCCAGTGATCGGGAAATGGGTTCTCGCATGATCAGAATGGACACCAAATCGGGATCTTCCCAGTTGGTATCTTTAATCTGGGTTTCCTATAGAAACAAAAATAAAAGAGAGGAGACTGTGTGAGATCCAAGAATGATAACGAACTGTATTGATTCTGTGGTCACTTGTTGACAACGTACATGAAACCCCGGAGGCTCTGTGAATTGCCAACTCGTGTACTGAAAGAACTGTCGAATGATGTGAATGTTGGTGGCCGTGTCATTGTGACTCCAAGGTTTATCGCGGGGATAATTGTCGCTGACATGATCGTCTGGCGTCGGACCCGAACAGACAAAGGATGGTGCTACGTTGGAGAAGAGTGCACACATGGTAGTCCCCGCATGATGGTAAATGTGAAAGTTCAAAAGGAGACCTGTGCCTCTTCGAAATCTCGCAATTTGAATCTCCACAATCGATTCGTGGTCCAACGCAGAATGTGCCAACCACTCGGGTTGTGTGGTGCTGGTGCTGCTGATTGCAGTGATATTGGTTATATAGCTGCTGCTGCTGCTTTTGCTGACGACTGACGAATAATGAACATTGTCCCAAAAGACAGTCAAGGCTCCAAAGACGCTGGCAATGGCCAGAGTGGCCAAGGCCGCACAGGAAAGACCCATACGACGATGGGTCACTGTCTTGTTCGGATTCTTCCTTCTCCTCTTTTTGCCTTGGACTTTCCGTCGATTTCTCCTCGTGACGCCATATTCCTCCTCTTCATCGTCTTCCACGAGCTCTTCAATCTCGTCCTCAAACTTGTCTGCCGGTGCCGCTGCCATGGTCATGGTCGTCTAGCTAGCTTCTGTTGTGCGATCTTGACGACGCGAAACAATGAAAGGTCATTTAGTTAACCAGTCGAGCTGCTTTGCATGCTGGCGGATGGAGGCTCTCAATCTCACCAACACAACTTGAAACATCACACACGTCATTCGACCGTTGGCTTTTGAAGATCCAATGCTGACACCAAGAAGATTGAATTCAATTCGGTCGTCTCATCAGAACAGATCACTTGCCAAGAGGGAGACAGCCACAACAGAATTCACCATGACAGAAACAACAACAACATCATCTCCTCCTATCGTCATTGACGGCAAAGGCGTGGCGGCGACCATCCAGGAAGAACTGCAGCAAGAAGTGGAACGGTTACAGAAGGAACACTCCTTATTACCCGGTTTGGCCGTCGTACTAGTCGGCCAACGAGTGGACAGTGCCACGTACGTGCGCATGAAGAAAAAGACGGCCGCCGCCATTGGCATTCACAGCGTCGATGTCGATCTGCCCGAAACTGTTTCGCAATTGGACTTGTTAGCACACGTCGAACAACTCAATAATGATCCCAGCGTGCATGGAATTTTGGTCCAATTGCCACTGCCGCCACATATTGACGAAGCAGCAGTGTTGAAGGCGATTGCTGTGGAAAAAGATGCCGATGGATTTTCGGCACTCAATATTGGCAATCTCTGTTTGCGGGGTGGTGATCCGCCACTGGCGGTGCCCTGTACACCGGCGGGGTGTATTGAATTGCTGCAACGCTATGACGTCCAGATTAGTGGCAAAGATTGCGTCGTATTGGGTCGTTCCAATATTGTGGGCATGCCCGTGGCGGCGCTATTACAATCGTGCAATGGCACCGTGACGGTTTGTCATTCTCGCACTCGGAATATTGCCGAAAAAGTCAAACAGGCGGATATTGTCGTGGCGGCGATTGGCAAGACCGAGTTTGTCCGAGGCGATTGGTTGAAACCAGGAGCTGTCGTGATTGATGTGGGCATTAATAGCAAACCGGATGCAACCAAAAAGCGGGGATATCGATTGGTAGGAGATGTCCACTATGACGAATGTGCCAAAGTGGCGTCGGCGATTACTCCCGTGCCGGGAGGTGTGGGACCCATGACCATTGTCATGCTCATGAAGAATACCATCAATCTCGCACGGAATTCCATTGGTCTGCCACGCATGCCTCTGAGAAACTCCATGCATCGCAATTTGAGTCATCGAGATTTTGTCAGTACTTTGAATCCTCCTTCAGCAACAACAACAACCACAACAACAACAACAGACAAGTAAAAGTACAGTAAGCAGCAATCTACCAAAACAACAACAACACGCGGAATCTTGGCACAGCATGGTACTCGATCATTTTTGATTGATCATGATTTGAACGCAACGAAGGTCTCTGTATTGCCTGTAACAACTAGAAGTCAGGAGAAGCTAAGAACATATTACCTATGAGTTGGCTAAGATAAAACACACAGGCAAGGTTACAGTCACTCGCTGGCTAGACAGTCGATGGATCGAGCCTTGCTTTGTAGTGTCGTGGTCTCGTCAAGTAAACGTTATTCAATCGGTTAGTGGTGGTAGAAGCAGATCTATCTGCAGTGCTTTGTTTCCTGGAAGGGTAGGTTCACAGGAACCTCATGGCAGGGACATTATGAATGCATGACCGTGAACTGCAGACAACCGGAGACTTACCCTTGCTTTTCAAATTGCACCAACTTGGTCGTCATGGGCCGAGAACTGACTGCCATCCCATGGTCCATAGAATTCAATGAGGGATGGCTTTCGAATCTGCGCCGGAGAAGGACGGCTTTGAGTGAGGCTTGATAATAGAGGTGCGATTGATTGACTATCACTTGAATAATTAAAGAACAACTCACCTGTTGTTGATGGCCGAGATCTGACTGCCTTCCCCTGGTTCATAGAAATTAAATGAGGGATTTAATCCACCATGACAGGCTATGCATACCCTTGTTTCGATCCATGCGGTATCGTAGGCTGGCAAGCAACAGTGATCGCGAGCTTCTTCTTACGTTCGACGCATTTTCCATCTTCGTTGGGACACCCCAACATGACAACACACCGAGGAGTCAGTCAGCCACCTTTGCTTGCTTGGAAGCAGCCGCCGACAATCAACCATCTCGTACCTTTGCCGACGGTCGTTTCAGTTTTGAAAATGAAACGGCAAGCATCAATTTTGATCTTTTTTGATGTTGACACCGCTTTTGATTTTGATGTTGACACCTCTTCGATTTTGAGTTGGTCTTGCCAAAGTGAACTGAAACGCCGTGCTTGAATGCATGAAACGCCGTTTACGTACCGGTAACCCAAGCTTTTCCTCTTACATTCATTCAGCACAACAACAGCAACAACTTCGACAAAGACATGCATGACGATGACCATGATGGAATTGAGAGTCCCACGTTCACGTGCCTCGAGATGTGCATCTACGGGTGGACCCTCGCGCGGACCGCTGTGTGGTTGAACGGATCCTAGTCGTCTTGCGGTGGTTCCTTTGTGGGTTGGTTCGTCCTCGCGCATGTAAAGGTAAGTCCACGTGTTCCTGTCTTTGTGCCATTGCTAGTTTCACGGTCATCGACCGTTGCCGCCTCATCTCCTTTAGTTCCCAACGTAGGTATTGACAATGGTGCTTTGGCCGTTCGTGTTCGAGTCGAGTCGAGTCGAGTCTCATCCACAAAAGGTCAGTTCACGTTCTTCTCGCATGCTTCTCAGTAGTGCCATTTTCCGGTGCTCCTTGGAGCCGCTCCTTCGTGGGCCCAGTTGATTGCAACAAGTCTTACTAACCTTCCTTCTTTTTCTCCGTTAGTGATTGACAAGGTGCTTCGGCTCAATGTTTGGCGTCCGTGTTCGAGACACATCTAGACATTCTTCTCGCAAGGCTCCTTGGAGGTGTTGAGCTATCGTATGCGTGGAGTTCGTTCTTGGCTCCCGGGCCCATCTTCTCAGCTTGTTCCTCGATTCTATTCAGAAGGCCTGGTTCGAGAATAGCACCAGTCGGTCAGCCGTTGCCTCGCCAAAGCACATCACCGCCATCATGGGAACCACCCACCGTCCTGATTTGAGCCCAAGAGATACAGTCCAAACTCTATGCAAGTCGATCCAGCCTAGATGCTTCCGGTGGAGCCTACGCCATCACCAATATACATGTAGTAATTTCCGCCTTCCAAGACAACGGCTCAAGCTTCGAATCCCAACGCTTTGACCAAGCTTCGAGATGCCCTCGTCAAGGCTACTCCCAACCTCCAACCTGACACCTTCACACCGTCGATCCGCTGCTTGATGCTCAACCTAGCCAGCACCTTTGCCAGCTCCTCTGACTCCAGACCACCACCATCATCAGAGGCCGAGGCAGTCTTGCCCTGATCTTCATCATTACCTTCATCATCTGACCCCACAGCGTCCTTTTTGGACTTACCGTCAAAAAGAGATAGCATCCCGGCTGTTGGTGGTTTGGCGGCTTGGGCTGCTTTCTTCTGTTTGTCGAGCATCCTTGGCAATGCCTTTTGGTTGTGTCCCTGTTCCTGGCTGCCCCTGGTTCCCATATCCCTGTTCCTGGCTGCCTGATCCTGTTGGCTCCCTCTTGGCCCTGTTCCTTTTGGCAAGGTCCCTGTTGGTGGTTGGTTGCACTTGTGCTCTTTGTCCCTTGGATCTGAAGGTCTTCAAGGCACCTCTTTGAGGAGTCTTCCAAAAGATGTTGATAATCTGGTTCAATCCAACCTTGTCCCTGCTGGTGCAACATCTCAATCCTTCTCATGCCTTAATCTTCTTCGTCGTCAATGCCCTCAGCCGTTGCGGACTCGTGCTGCTCTTCCACATCCTTTGGGTCAGCTGAATCGAGATCGCCAACTCTCGAGGGTGGTGCTGCCTTCTTGCCTCCGTCTTCTGATTCCATCCAGATCACTGACCCAACGGATGCCTTCTTCCCGTCGCCTTCCGTGCCAATCTAAGACAGACATCACACGACAACACACCGTAGTCACGATCTTTCTGAGCTTGCGGACTCCAAGACAGTTGCTGGAGCTGCTCCCAACCCCCAGAACAGACTTGGTCACACTGAATCTCAAGGCGGCGGTTCAAGACCAAGCGGCGGGTCCAATTCGAGTAGCCGCACGCGTACTACGAACATACAACCCTAGCAGAGCAGGTGGATTCCACCTACCGTGACGAACATACGCCCACTACTGCCTCCCATGACGGGCAAACACCCCCTACTAAACAGAATAGGTGGATTGCACCCTCTGCCGTGCGTTCTAACGCGAGTCCTCTGACCTCGAAGTCGAAATCTTTTCTCGAATATTGCCACGGCAATCACTGAGACAACCACGCTTCAGTCAAGGGCCATCTCTTGGTTCTCCATTCCCCGGGTAGTTTCCATGGTGCCAGGACTAATTCAGCTTCTCTCCTTCTTGGAGCCTATTCGGGGGCGGCTGCTCAACCCGCATTTGTTTGTACTGAGTATCCTTTTCAAAAGTAGTTCAAGATCAAGGTCGTCTCACGTTTGATGGGTCGATTGGATTGCATCCACGGGAGCCGTCGTGGTATTGTCCCGAGTTAGTCTCTTGCAGTCTCATCCATTTCCCGTGGCACTACCAGAAGCAAGTCGCGAAAGTCTACTCCGCTTTGGTCAGTGGTCAAGCCACTTCGGCACTTGCCCTGGGATTTGAGGTTCGACGGATTGCAGTCACGGCTGGTCATTTCTTGGACTACTAGCTAGCTAGATCAACTTCCTCTCCAACTTTGTACTTGGATTTTGGGCACAAAGAATCCTCAGTGGCTGACTCGGGTCCAGAGCCATACCGTAGCTACATCTGGCTTCATGTACCGTATGCTCGGCATATGCGTTGGGCTCCACTCTTGGCTCTGGTTCAGCACCACGGAGGCATGCATAATATCCAAACAAGGAAGCACCACCGTACAGTCCAGACTGTTGTTTTGCTAGCAGATACACTGTACCGGTACAGTCGAGCCCTGCTTCCCCATTGGGACTGAGTTGTACGGGTACCTGGTTCGTATGTTTCTTAACGAGGAGGAAGGAAGCAGTTATCCAAGAGATCGCAGTTTATCCTTAATTTAACCCCACAACTGTGGCCATCACCACCTACGGTACCAGTACAACAGCGACAGCACCGCCTCACAGTCTCACAACTGACATGCAGCTCCTGTTGGAAGCTGACCATGCTGTTTTGCCATTCCTGTCCTCTCCAGTCTTCCATTCCATTGCTTACCATGACGTTTCTGTGTCTATTAGGAACCAGTGTTGTTCGAAGGGTGGCGGCTGGCCGAGGATTCACCACTGCTTTGACGATTCACCGACCAGCTTTTTTATCCCAGGCGCATCATCATCATCATCATGGCTCTTATAGCACCGTGTCACTACTGGGACAATTGCGAGGAGGCACCCATGATTCGTCTTCTATTGGTAGTAGTGATGATGACAGTAGTAGTAGTAGTAGGATCAAGCCCAAGAAAACATTGAAAAAGGCACTTCGAAGATCCAAACGCAAGAGGACTTTGACCACACAAACACCACAGTCGTCGTCGTCGTCATCAACTACTCAATCCAACTTTGCCACCAATCTTCACGTCAGCGTGGCGGCCGAACAGGGCTATCGATCATACATGGAAGACGAATTTGTGGTGGCACAAGATTTTTGTGCCGTCTTTGATGGTCACGGGGGAAAGGCCGTCTCACAGTATTTGAAGCAGAATCTATTTGCCCATTTACAAGCAACCTTGCCCAGTGTCTTGGAGGAAAAGGAAAAGGAACTACAGCAGAAACAACAACATCAGCAGAATGAACAAGAACCGACAAACCAACAAGACTCTCAAGAATTGGTTCCAGATGACGAAACACCACCCCAATCTGCGATTCCATCAGAAGAAGAAGAAGACAAGTCCACTTCAGCAGCCGTCGAACCTACAGTCGAGGACTACTGTGTGGCCTTGCGCTTGGCACTCGACAAGGTAGATCGCGAAGTCCAACGCATCAATCACTGGAGTTATCAAGGCAGTACGGCCGTGGCCGCATGGTTGCATCACGCCAGCAACAACAATAGTAGTAGTGATCAAGACGAAACAACAACAACAACCACATTGATTGTGGCCAATATTGGAGATTCCCGGGCCGTCTACGGTCGTCATGGTACTGCCGTGCCACTGACCCGCGATCACAAACCCGACGATCCACTCGAGCTCCAGCGTATTCAAGCCGCTGGAGGCACTGTCGTCTGGCACGGACGAGTCGATCCCACCACGAAACAGCCCATTCCCGACCAAGGCGTTTATAGGGTAAATGGCAATCTGGCACTTTCTCGGGCCATTGGGGATCGATCCGAACGACCTGCCGTGACGGCTGATCCGGATATCACCTATTTGCAACTGTTGAATGCTAAAGATGACGAAGCAACAACAACCACAACCACCGCAACGGTATCAGAACCACAATCACAACCTGCACAACAAGATGTGGCAACGAATAGTAGTACTGCTACTAGTACTTCTACTGGTGAAGACAACAAATTGTCTGACAAACCCAAACGCAAGACGGAATTTATCATTTTGGCCACCGATGGATTATGGGATGTCTTTTCCAATCAAGAAGTTGTGGATATTGTAGATCTCTTGTTGGACAAGACACGAGGAGAATTGAAACATCAACGACCCAGGATTGCTGATGTCATTGTTCGAGAAGCCATACGACGGGGAACCTTTGACAATGTTACGCTCATTCTCATTTGGCTTCGTACAGGGGATGATGATGACGATGAGGAGGAGGAGACCAAGCAGGAAAGTACAGTAGTATGAACGACAAGAAACAAAACAGGGCTGCCTCCAAACTTGGTGCGGTACCTGAGAAGTCGTCATCTACTGCAATACAAATGTCCTTCGGGTACGAGAGTGCAGAGAGATGATCGATCTGGTCTCTCTCGTCGTCGGACGTGATCAGATGGAAGACCACAGGGTTGCAATCCGACCCTACCGTACAGCAAAGCCACTGTTTATTGCGCTGCTCCAAAGGCACATACGGGCAGACTAAGTCTTGGGCGAGACGTCCTCCTTCCCATGAGACTGAGGTCGAAACCGCACGAAGGTACCAACGCAAATAAATAAAGGTGGCCACTACAGTCGTTTTGCCGCGACTGGAACCATGCTTGAGTAATTCTTCCAGTAGATAGCTACTAGCTAGCTAGATGAACTCGCTGTGGAGCTGCCACCAGATACATTGCATACCGTGCTGAAGCGTCGGTCCTTGTGCTTTCCTTCTGCTCCAAGCGCCGTTTCCGTTCCATACTGTGGTACATGTACTGTACAGATTCCGTGCAGGTGGTGGGTGCAATGTCAAACTTGCTGCCAACACGTCATCATGTCAGAAGGGAGCCGAGGATCTTGTGCCCAAAACACCATGAAGATCGACATCTCAAGTCTCATCAAGCCAACATCGAAGACTGCCAACCCTTCTTCTATTTGTCCTTGTTGCCATGGTAAACCGCGAGATGTCTTGTCGGCTGCATCTGCTGTTTGGAGTGCTTGTCGCATGCCTGGCAGCGGCATGTCAAGGCTTTACTGTGCCGCCATGCTCCCACCGAATTGCCTCTTGCTGCCAAACTCCCACTACCGGTCGGTTAGTCTTGAGCAGCAACAAGAACGACGGCAATGACGATGACGACAAGAAGAAGAAGGTGTACCAAGACGAAGAAGAGGCATCCCGCAAAGTGTTTGACAGTCTATCGACTGGTCAAGGCTTTGACAGTGCCATTTTCGCTTTCGGTATTGGCTTTTTGGTATTTGGTTTCCTGCTCAACATTCTCGGTTACGACTATGTCGTCAAGGATGGACGATTGACCATTGATACGATAGAAGCTCGTCAGTTTCAAACCGAAGTCAACAAGGCCATGAAGGCCCAAAAAAGAGAGAATGCACCTCCCAGCGCCATTAACAGTGTCGATGTCCCGCCAGCAGCATCATTATTATTGGAAGCACCACCACCACAAGAATGAATCGAATCGAAAAAGAGTCAGCAGAGGGCTATTCTACACGTATTGTTAGTTTGGCTAATATATATGATGATTAAGCCTGGAAACAGACGACTAGAGCAAACGCACAACAACCAACCAACGATGAAACGACAATATATCTAGTAGCTACTGTAGAGCAATATGTGTGGTGATTGTGACAGACAAGCAATTGTGTGTTCTGTGACAAAAACTAAACTAAAGGGTTCCAGCAGCTCGCCTCAAATCTAGTAGCCGCGTTTATGTGCATGGCTGGCAACCACATCACATAACTGGCTGACTATATATTCGACCAGCAAGCCGCCATCGTTTCCTAGTATCATTCTCTAGTAGCCATTAGCTAGCTCGGTACAACGGTCGTACATAGCTGCATGATTGCGGTCGTCTGTTTGTGGATCTTTCTTTGTCTTGCACGTCGTATTTGGCGGGCGTTGTGCTGAGGAAGATATTTGGTTTTCGCACACACACGAGGACCAGCCAGTTGCTTAGAAGGAACAAGCCCCGGTTTTCTGGGCTTGTCCTGATATTGAATTCTACCCTTTTTCAGCGCAGCATTGTTATGAAGTTGTACCGTATTGGTGATGACCAACGATACGGTACGTTTCCAAAGATCCTTCCTATTTATTCGTCTTTGGAGGGTCCTGCTGATTGTGATCATGACAAGGAGCACCATCTTTTTGGCCAAAGAAAAATTTCGCCCGTGACTGGATCTTGTGAAGGAAAGATCGTGCTTCCGCTAAATCCAAGCGGTAAGCGATCACGGACCAGCAACCTCACTGCTTGCATCCGATGACCTTGCCAAGCATGCAAGAGAACCCTTCTCGAGGAAGGAAGCATCCACAGCCATAACAATTTACTGTTACCACAACATCACCATAAAGCATTCCACAACATCAACATCATTGGGAAAAACAACAAGAACAACAATACGATCAGCAAGCAGCCATGACAGTGGAAGTAGCAGAGCAACCGACTCCTAGTAGCATTGGAGTTCCCGACATGAGGCCCGAAGAGGACCAAGACGGTACTGCCACAACCACTTCTACTAGTAATAGTGGTACCAATGGCGCCGCCATCGACCAGTCGTCTCAATGCGAACAAGAAGAAGGAGACAAAGTCAATGGTACGGACGACATGAAATCCCAAGACCAACTATCCACAGCAGCCGACAACACTACAGAAGACAACAAGAATCCGAACGCCACTTCGACTACTACCACTACAGTGACGACGACAACTACGAATAATAATAATGCCATGGATCTGAATGTTGCCTACGAAGCACTGGAACAGGTGCGACAAGCCAATGTGGCGATTGAATTTGGTCGTCCATTAGGACCGCGCGAATGCATTCCCTGTCTTCGTGAAAAATTGGTCCAACAAGCGGCCGCCAACCAGAATGGGACGCGATTTCAACGATTCATGGCGAATCGACCCAGTATTGTCGGCCGCGCGGCACCGTGTTTGACCTGTGGGACACCGGTGTGTCCCCGTCACAAGTGTCAAGAACTCAAACGCGAGAATATCAATATCTGTATCGACTGTGCCGCCTTTTTTTCTCTGTCCGAACTCTTTTGCAAAATGAACGACGATCGGCATAATGAACATTTAACGGTGGAAGTCGCCAAGGAATCGCGCAAACGACAAATGAATCTCATGCTCGATGTCTACGATCGCGCATTGCTGGTCCTCCAATACTCGGTTGGATTCATGGAAGAAATTGCCACGGCACTGGAAAATCAAACCAAACGCAACAATCAAATTGGATTGGGATCCAGCGCGACTGGATTTGCTTCGGGCATTGTTGGAGTCGCCGCGGCCGTCACCATTTTCACTCCGGCGGGACCACCTCTTTTGATTGCCAGTATTCTCTTTGGCGGAGGCGCCACCGCCGCATCGGCCGGAAGTGAAGCGGTCAATTATCGTTCGTCGGCCAACAAAATGGCCGATACTATTTATGCCTTGCACGGGATGGTCCATTCCATTGCGGGATTGGTTGTGGATCATACTACTGCGGAAGCTGCCGCCGCCGAAACCCCAGAAGACGAACGACCACGGTTGAATAATACGGGCGACAATAGTAGCACGGCACGCAACTGGACTCGTGCCGCCGCCAATGCCATTAAACCACTCACCGCCGGTGTACTGAGTGCCGCATCGGTCGTCGCCGAAGCCAGAGAAATGAGAGCCACACTGGATAAAATCAATGCCGGGAATCCCTGTGCCAAGGCGGAATATCTCCGAACCATTGCCGGAGAAATTGATGCCTTTCCCAGTACCACTTCTTTGGCGGCTGTTTGTCCCAGTCTTTTTGATGTGTGACAGCATCTTACGTTTTCGACGCAATGATCGATGAACACAATAATAAAAGACAAAAAGAGATCAACATTTTGGGCTAGCTTCTAGCTGGTTTCTGTCAATGTGTAAATTTTCCTTTGATTGTTTGCTTCATTCAGTCTTCCTCCCAGGTTCCGAGCGAAGCCGCGGTGGAATGGTTCTGCGCTTGTGTCAATTGTCGTCTTGAATGAATCCACTTGTCCTCTTTCTTGTTTCAATTCGTTTCTTGCTGCTGGCGTACTGTATCAGCCGTGCGTAGCTGAGCTGAGCTGAACTGGGCTTTGTGATGTGAAAAAATCAATGTATGTTGAAGATGATGCTCCTTGGGCATAGCTCGTACAGTACAACAAGCAATCAACTGCTTAGTGAGTTTTGTTTCCTGGGAGCGAAGGGATCGCGTATTCTAAAGGTTGATACCTACCACGTATGTCTACATGTATGATACCGGTACTAGATCTACCGTATCTGAACCGTATCGTAAAGGCAGCTAGCATCTTCAAGGGGGGAAAATGCTGGCATCTCCGAATGATTGAATGAATCAGAATCGGACCTTTGCCCCCCGTATTGGTCCCGATCAACTTATCGCTCTGCCCTGATCGCATGGAACCTGGCTAGCTAGCTAGTTAGTCCTGAATACGGACTCTTTGGCTGGCCCTCGCTGGCAACGATACATGTAACCTCCCTTTCCAGCTAGCTACCTGCTAGCCAGCCTCTGAGTGTCAGTCCGTCACTACTAGCTAGCTACCGGTAGTAGAGACTAGTAATCCTTATCGTTTTCGAAGCTGGGAGGAGCAGGAAAACGCATTACACCACTACACAAGCCATTACACACTACATGCAAGTACTATTTTATAAGGGCATTCAACAAGCTACCCTTTTGGTTGATTACATGAGCACTCAACAGGTTGCTCCTAGCTAGATTGGTTGGTTGTTGTAGTTGTTTACAGTGTGCCTATGAAATTGCTGTGTGTATTCAAACTGGATGGATTGTGTGGATCAATGGTCCTTTCCCTTGTGGTGAATGGGTTGATATTGCCATTTCTTTGTCATCTTTGGTTTATATGTTTGAAGGAGATGAGAGAGCTGTGGCTGACAAAGGGTACAGGGGGTATCCTCAGTACTTTGACTGCCCATGGCGACACCTTGACAATCAACAACAGACTAGCAGGAAGGCTCTTGCAAGGGCCAGGCACGAATGTGTCAATAGGAGACTCAAGGAATGGAGCTGCCTCCTTCAGAGGTTTCGCCATTCCCTTGATAAACATGGTAAGATGGCCCATGCTGTGGCCAACATTGTGCAGCTCCAGATCATGGACCGGCCAATGTGGCAGGTGGAGTACTATGATAGAGTCGACAATGAGTTTGACTTTGATTATTAAAATAGTTTGTAGTTACTCTAGTTGCAGCCTCACTACATGTATTAGCCATAGCATTGACAGTCAACAACCAACCAGTCTACTCAGGTGTGCAATGCTTGTAATGCGTTTTCCTGCTCCTCCCTGGCTAGTGTTCAGGTTACGTGTACCGTACCACTTCGTTGAGTACGAGGACGACCGTAGAACCTACAGCGACTGTGGGAAAACCAGGTGGTACGGTACCATACGGTAAAGGTGGTACAGTACCGTACCCGAAAACCGCAAGACCAAAGCCAGAAAACAAATCCACGTCTCCACGTCTCGAAGGCAGACATAAATCAAGACGTGCCATGTGCACGTGAAGAAGAAGAGGGGGTGGAGAAAACATAAAAAGCATTCATCTCTGAATTAGGCGCAACAACAACAACAAAACATGAATGTTAACATGTCCACCGGTAGCGGCCTTGTTGACTTGCCCAGCGACCTGCTCCGTCGGGTGGCCTGCTTCCTGGACAGGGACAACCTCGGCAGCTTGTCCTTGACGTCCCCCACGGTCAATCAGCACCTAAGCATTGGCAGCATCAACCATCCTGATCATTCTATTTATGGTGTCGGTGGTTTCTTTACTTTTAACGATCGTTTCGAGGATGGGTGGGGGTACGCGGCCAAATTGCAGGGTGCCACCACCTTTGCCAACCGACCCATCCATTCCGTCCAGGTGTCCTTCCGCTGGAAGGATCAAGGATGGGGCAACCAGAAGGGAATGGTGCGTGTTGTGGCGGTGAATGCCAATAACAATCGCCAAGTGAGCTGCACTGGAATTGCACCCCACGAAGAGGCAGCACAAAAGTCCATGTGTTTCGTGCCCGTCGCTGGGACGGAATACTTCTTGCAGGTGCGGGTGGGCCATGGTGGTGGACATTCGCTGCATCTAAAGAATATTCAGCTTCAGTATATCATTTTCGACGACGAGGAACGCAGCATCTCCCGAACCCATCGGCATCTGCTTGGAGGATGCGATACAACAGTTCCTTTCGGTGTTCCATCGCTCCTTCGCCAGTGCGGAGTGGCACTGGCAGAGCTACAGGGCACACCCCAAAACAATCACCAAAAGGAATGTCAAGAAGCAGTATCATGGTTCTACTCCGTTCTGAAGCGTATGGGGGGCAAAAAGACACCTGAAGCTGTTACGTTGCTCCGAGAGGTCCTCTTGGCCGAGTCCAAGCACCAAGAGCAACTTCAAGCCACATCTTGGACGATTGGTATTGGGTCGACTGAGTCAATGCCTATCACCGCATATCATCCTCGAGGCTTTGGCTTTGGCGGTGGCGGCGGATGGGGCGATGAAGATGACGACGAAGACGACGAATCGGACGATGACGAATCGGACGGAATGTTGTTCGATGACGACACATTTGACGTAGATAGACGACCCTTTGACTGTGCAGAACAGTTATTATAGAACATATCATTTATTCTCGACTTACACTTGTGCGCACAACCGCCGAGATCTCTTTGTGGGACCGTCCCACCGCGCGTGGGCTAGCCATGGTGCCCTTCCCGTCGAACCAGCCTCTCGTGTTTGTTGTGGGGCCTTGAAATGCATTGCGTGTGTTGATACTACTTCACAGAACGCCTTGGCCAAGACGAATCCAAAAACAGGGCGGGCAATCCCACACCACTGGCCCAACAGAGATGCCTCCTCGCTCATGCTCTTTTTGTGACTCGACTCTGCTGTTTCATTCCACGACCCTGCAGCGGGTTCCAGATGCCGGAGCTCGTTTCAACTAGGGAACGGACAGACTGCGACTGTTGAGACTTGTTTCTTCTAGAGACATCTGCTCTGAGGATACCAATCCACGCAGCCTGCAAACGTTCATGCTATGAGGCGGATCAGCCGTGAAGGGTGAGCTGCCCTATTGGGCTGTGCTCCAAAACCAGGCTACTGTACGGATGATGCAATCTCTGGATGAGCTTGCGGACACATTCGAGGTACAGCTTGCATCCGTCTATGGGGAATCAATGCGTCGCCACCCTTTTGCTTCTTGATCGTGGAGGGTACGGTACTGTCGACGGTCAACCCTGATTGCTCTTCTGCTATTGAGCAGAATGCCATGTCGTGTATCTACATTCCCGAAGAAGACGTGGGGACAAAGCCTTGTCACCGATTGGCCCAGCGATCATTACATTCACCCAACGTTTTCCCCGAGACTAGAGGATGAGCTGCCGATGACGAGACAATGGCCAGCTTCAATTGAGATCTGAACGGTGAACCAAGGAAATGGGAGCAGAGACACCAGGACGGATTCGAGTAAATCAGTGTTAGGAACAGATAGTGGATGGGTTTCGGTGAAGAAGATGTCATGTAGAAGAAGAAGATTATTGACGAATCCTCCTTCAAGAGGGCGGTGCAACACCAGTACACCACTGCAATAGCGGAGCAGTGTCATGGTTAAGTTGTGACCAGCCTGCCACATCCGTGTTAGTCAGCCAAACGGCATGTTGGAAGTCGACACCGCATGAAGCGGAGCTACAGACAACAACGAAGCGCCGTTGGCGGCATGTCAACAGGGGCGATGCAAGACTGCAAAACCTGCCCCATAGGATCAGAACGGAATGATCGGATACATGAAAAGCTTTTCGGGTAGATTGTATATTGTAGTCTATTCTTCAATGTAATTATAGCTTTCCAATGGAGGAGGTTCATCCTCTTCTTCTATTGTGCGGCGAGATCCTCTGGGGTGAGCAGGTAGCTCGCCAGCATCAAATCTTGATAGCTCGTTGATGCTCTTCATGGCAGCATCACTCATAGGAACATGCTGGTTCTCGAGATTGAGTCCAGCAGATGACGACACCCGTCGTCTCACTTCAGGCGGTAGAAAACCGCTGGTCTCCAACTTCAACGCACTCGAAACATGCTCGCTATCGAGATTGAGTCCAGCAGATGACGACTCCCGTCGTCTCAGTTCAGATGGTAGAAAACTACTGGTCTTCAACGCACTCGGCAGATGCTGGCTATCGAGATTGAGTCCAGCAGATGACGACTCCCGTCGACTCAGTTCAGTAACAGGAGGTAGAAAACTACTGGTCTCAAACTTCAACGCACTCGATTTTCTCCGCACACCACCCGTGTATTCGCTTGCTGAAGGCATTGCAAGCATGGACGACCTTCGAGCACGTGATAGGCCCCGGCATTCAGGCTCATCCAGATGTGATAGATTTGGATGTGACATGGACATAGTGTAGCGAATGTCCTCCCCTGAAATGGCGGGGAAAATAGCCAAGCTTTCCGTATAGCGAAGCCACTCATCCTCCTCCATGGGACGGAACAAGAACTTCTTAATCGGGTCCACAAGGAAAGAGTTGATGGTGGGCACCACAGCGACGACCCACCGGATAAGGCGGCTGTACCCCACAGCACTGGCTGCTACAGCGCTGTAGTACATGATGTTGGGTAGCAATTCGGGGACTGTTGGATGATCCAACACTTGGACAAGTGTACCCGGAATGATGCACCGATAGAAGAAAGGTTTGGGAATGACATGACCCGAACCTTCTGGGTCTAGCTCACCGGTGAAGAACCAAACATAAATGTCCACAAAGCAGATCAAGTCAATGGTGGTTTCGAATGCCCCACTCATGTACAACAAGATATTCGCCAAGGAATGCGAGGCTATACTTGACTTGGTACACGTTGACAAGAGCTGTTCTTTGGGCAACCGTATGAGTTTCCGCACGATCTTTCGTGTCAATCGACCGGTAGCCGTCAAGATGTTGCCGCGATCTTGGGCGCAACCCAGAACGCTGATCATCATTGTCGTGTAGGACTCATCCACTCGTCCGTACAGTTGAAACGATGTGCACATCCGACACAACTCCGAGACGAGAGCGCACGTGACAATGACTCGCCACGACACGCTGAACCTCGTTCTAGGTGATATCAGATTAGCTGTCCACAGCGTTGATCCCACAGTCGATGTGAACTCTTGACTCAAGTCTACGATGCGATCATAGATCTCTGACGTCGGAAACACCCTCGATGACCTTCCAATTTGCACCTTCAGGTTGTCCAATTCCCGTCTCATTTTCTTCTCTTGTTGCCGTTTCTCTTTGATTTTGTTTCCCACTTCGGCAGATTCCTCGCTGGCCATGCTGACAATAGTTTTGGTTGGGACCCTGGACAACCTAGGCATTGTCTTGGTTTTAGCCTCAATCTTCTGTAAATCTTCAAATAGCATACTGCGATGGATCAGGCGCTTGGCCTTTTCTGCATTGGCCTGCCATGCCTGTTTGGACGTTCTTAGCACGGCCCAAAACTGATCATTCAGCTTGAGCAAAAGCCTCAGCAGTGGCCCGGCAAATCGAAAGTAGCGTACCCATCGTAGCAATGTGCGGATCCGTTGATATATCTTATGGGGTTGCCAGAACGAGAATGGCAAGACGAGATGCCAAACCCATTCCATAATCTCGTCCATGGCCCATTCCATGGCCCATTCTGCTGTCTTGGCCATTTGCCTGAGAGATTCATTGATCCAATGGGTTGCCAACGCAGTGTCCGCTTCTGGCCCGCACCTCGTGTCCAGCATGGAGTGCCAGGGCATCAAGAGGCTCCATAATGAGAGTGTCACTACGACAGGAGTCCAAAAACGGAGTGTCTTTCGTGCCAGAATGTCATCTTCGTCATACATGGTATCTTCCTCTTCTTGGGCATGTACATTTCTGGCAGAACTATACAGTCTCGCCAGTTTCTTTTCAAAATTATCCAGGGCGGCCAACTCTAGCAGATCCTCTCGGGCTTGTTGGGCTCTTCGCATAGCCTCCCCTATGCACATGAGACAAAACAGTGGGCCCATCCAGTCGAGGGTATAGAGACATTTTCCCAAGATGGTATAGAACCCAATCGAGTAGGTAGAACAAGTATCTTCCTCTTGATCTCTATACTGCTGAATCAACATGGTATCCCAAGACTGACTGCTGCTGACCCCTGGCTTGTTCTGATTGACGGCTGACACCCATCCTTCCAGGAACAACGGCCAGCAACCCAAAAAATCGGCCACTGCCACGAGGGCAAACGCTACCTTCCACAAGGTAGTCCACTCATGGAACAACAATCGCCGTCCCCATCTTTCTGCTACCGTCGTCATATCCCATTCAATTAAGTGTCGATGCCTATCGAACGGGCTGATGTACAGTAGTACGGTAGTATATTATTGCTGAAGGGTGTTGTATGGCACCCCTTCAAGCATCGACGCATTTGCTTGTTTCTCGGAATCTGTCTCTGTGATCGCGTGTCGCGTGATTGCCTTTTTGACATGAGAAGGATCGAGGTGAGTTAGTTGTTGAACCAGAGCAAATCAATCATTCGGATCCGATCCATAAGGTTAAGGCTCACTTTATCGAGCTTGTTTGTGCTCAGTTTTTAGAAAACAAACCTATCAGGTCTTGTTGGTCCACCGTACCGTATGACATACCGGTACCGGTAGTTGGTCATGTTGTAAGAGCGCTGGCTTGCCACCTCTAAATAGTACGTCTAGTTAGCTACGATAGTAGTCCAGCCCATTCCGCCACTCACTCTGAGATGCCATATCCAAAATATCAGAGACAACGATGTCTTGCTTTGTCTAGAGCTTATTATAAGGTAGGTGTTTGGAGAGAGCAGCAGCCATACAATTGATTAGCTGACTTCTAGCTAGCTAGTAGACTTTGGTGAAACAAGAAACCTCTCCTGTTCCTAACTAAAAAAGAATGAGCTTTCTCTGAGCATTTCCGAAGAATACTGACTGGATGCTTCACCAAGATGAGGACGACAGTTCTCCAGATGTTTAGTGGAAGCAACCAGGAGTTGCGGAAAGCACGAGGAGCTTTCGGAAAGAGCTTCTACCTGATCTTTAGAAAAAGGATTGATTGACAATCTATCCTTTTTAGATCGGCCCAAAACCAGAAGTGATTGACAATTGAAAGGCTCCATTTGACATACGTAGCGACTGACTCGAGTTCAATCTGGGAAATCGGACAGGGTTCCATTGCTATCCACTAACGATCGCTGGCTAGAGTACGAAGGTAACCAGCGGGCCGATACAGATACGATACCAAAGACTACGTAGTCAAACAAGATGGACTAACTAACTACAGCCTACAGTGTATTTATTTTGTGTATTGAATGTATGTATTGGTCTTCTTCATTGCATCAAAGCCAAGAAGGACCTGCTTGAATCGAATCAAGTCAAATGTACAGCCGAATCGAATGTGTGTCTTTTTAGACGAGTAGAGCCTTCTTCTCCGTAGATTGTTGTTGCTGTGGTGCAGCCTCCACGAATTTCGCTTCTGTGACCGACTGAGGCGTCTCTCCAGACTCTGGAAAGGATTCATTCTTCTCTCCGCTTCCTTCTGGTATAATTTCCATGTTGGCTACCGACTCTTCATCAAAGAGAAATCGACGGTAGAGGTCAACTTCTAGGCTTGAATTCATCTTTTTCCAAGCTCGTTCCGTAGGACTCGATGAAGACGCGTAGGTCCTCGACGAGGATGGAGGAGAGCTTTCCTCGCGCTGCTCAAACTCGACCTGCCGGTCCGCATAAACATGACACAGATTGCAGGCATGCCTTCGCACCAATAGGTTGCAGGCAGTCGCCACCTTGACCATACCGTCCACTAAACGTCGTCCTCGGGTACCATCCGCATCGTGCCGTGTGCTCAGAGGACCTCTTGTTGCTTCGAAATGGCGATGGTTCACATTGTTTTCCTTGTTCTGATGGAAGGTAGCTTCGGTGTCCAAGCTCAGCGGTTCGTACAATACGCTGGAATCATCCGTGAGCTGTTCTGCAAGAGCTTGAGGGGCGTGTACGGCGTGGCCTGACATCATCTTGCTGTTGTTACTGTTGTTGTCTCTTTCCGATCGATGGTCCATTCATTCGTTCAGTTCTGTAAGTGCGTCTCCTGCGGTTGAATCCAATGAAGCCCATTGGCTAGTTCTCACCAAGACCTTAAAAATTGGATATGATTAGCGCCTCATAAACGGCCTTTAGTCCCGTAGCGAGGTGAGGCTCAAACTGAAAAAGCTCATCACATTATTCCTGCTCCGAACAGATAGATCTTTGGCACCCTTCCATGGTGCGCTGTACAGCTGTACCACCGGTTCCACTTCGGGTTGAAACGTGGATAATGGTGCTTCTGCAATCAGTGGGTCGACAGAGCTTTGCTTGAAGGCAGAAGCACGGCTTTGGTTTTAGGTTCTCCCAAATGACGAAAGATGATGAATTGAGCATTTCATCAGCGTCGCTTGACGAGGCGAAACCAGGATGACCACAACTACAAAGTGAACGACTGCTCTCCCAAGAGTGGTAAAGCAAACAGTACAGCTACCGCTCATACCAGTACTGTACTGGTACTGGTACCATTGATAGATAACCTCGCCTCCCTAACAATTGGCTACTAGTGCTTTTAGGGAACAATGGTACCCGTAGCTATGATAGCTAGCCGGCCAGATGATGTGTTATTGTAAATCTCTTTCTTGTTTCTACCTAATCTAATTTTCTCATAACTTGTCTGCATCTGTTTCAATAATGCTGACTTTGTACATGTACCAGTACCATGTAGTTTTTTCAGTTCTAAAATTAGGACAGTTTCATTTCAAGTTTAGTCCTAGGAAGATCGCGCGAGATCGCGCGAGATCGCGCGAGATCGCGCGAGATCGTGCGAGACTTTGTGGGACTCAACTTGAAATGAAACTGTCCTAATTTATTTTTGCACAAAAACTCCGTCTCAGTCTTGCCAAGACTCACTCGGGTCAACCTTCGGTGTGACTGAGGACTCGACTGGTTCGACTCGACTGTCACTCGTCACTCAACTCAACTCTGTCACATGGAAAGGGTTCAGGCTACCTCAGACAATTCGCATTCCTGTCACCCATCCTACCGTACCCCTCCCCCAACCCCCAAACCAGCGATCACAATGGCGCGGCGAACAACAACACAACTCGATCCGTTGCCATCAATGGGTGTCAGTCTAAGCCTCGCCTTTCCCAACTGAGATGAGTGAGTTTCGAGTGGCCATGGACGATTCTGACCAGGACTCGATGGTTACAAGAGCACCAGAACCGGCAGGAGGATCGACGGAAGAAGCGGCCAGACTTGAAATGGGGGCTCCCACGCTTACTACTAGTACCTCCACGAAAGCAGATCCCCCAGGCCGCCTCTTTGGTGTTACGGTGTCCGATGAAGAGGTGGAGACAGCAGCAGCAAGGGATGACACGTCTCGATCTGCTTTACCCAAAGAAGCCGTTCCCAGAGACACTGGAAAACCCGAGGCTCGGGTTTCAGAGTTCTCTGAAGTGTCTTCTTTAAAGGCAGGCGACAAGGACTCTCCACACGATGCGGAGGCTGGCCCCTCGACAGACGAAGCAGATGACTCCGAGAATCACGAGGATATGGCCACACTGGATGAGCCACAAAACAAGAAGAATGCAGCAAGTGAACCCATGTTTTCAGAACGTGCCAAGAAACAGAAATTGGACGAGGCACCAAAGAAGAAGAAGAATCGCATCGAAAACTTGGGAAACGATGAAACTGGAATGTGTCTGGTTTACCCTCCTGATGATCCGGACGTACCTGCTGTGGTGATTCTGAAGGAGTTGGAAGCAAAGCTGCGCAACCAGAAAGTGCTGAAAAAAATTCAAACTTTCATCAAGGACAACGAGGATGGCGACGAACCCGAGTCAGCAAGACTTATCCAGGGCAAGCGTTTTGAAATCTTTCTGGACGCAAAGGGCAAAGCATCCAAAGCGTTTGACACTGTCATTGTGCCTACCATGCAAAACCAAAATGCCAAAGAGATTATATTGGAGTATGCTCGGTCGCAGGCGCAAATGGATCCTAGAGTCCAAGACGGATACATCTTCGAGAATTTCTCATTGTTGGTCTGCCAACGGGCAGCACCAGCCCAGGCTCCACATGTGGATTTGGTGACTCCGAACTTCCAGTTTGGCATGGTTCTATCCAACAAATCACGAGGGACTCTCTTTGTTCCGGAACCAGACAAACTCGGAAGACTCCACCATGTTGATCAACTGGTTTCTCTTTGGGAAAAAAATCCCTTCTTCAAGGATGACGCTTTCTCAAAAGTTCCACCACGGCTTGTGGAGAGGTTCAAGGCAGACCTGGGTGCCCAACAACTGTTGAGCTACTTTGGTGACACACTCCACCCGGAAAAGACCTTGCGGGACAGTTTTGTCTCGAAGGATAGGCTGCCCGTGGGTACTGTATCGTGTCTCCCAGGAAGCGTTTGTCACGCTGGCCCTGCCACCACGGCCCCTCGTTCTGTTCTCTTCTTCTCTGGAGCTCCAAAGGATTCGGATGAAGTGGATCCGTACATGCCCGACAGTCAGTATAATGGTGTCACTCTGATGGGCCATCTAGTGTCAATCTTTTGGAGACAGGAATCCATTACAGCAAAGGATCGCCAGTTCCTCCTAAGGATGCTGGCAAAGTATGTCCAAAGCTCCTCCTCCAAAGACGTTGCCGACCAATTTGGTGAAGGAAAACTTCGGGACTGTGTCAGGGCTTTGCAAAACAAAAGGTACTCCTCGAGAAAGATGCGAATGACACAGGAAGAATTTATCAAAGACAGGTCGGAAGATCTATCCATTGTTGTTGGAAATGATCCTTTCTCGCAGCCGAATGCAGTGATTGATGTGACAGACTTGAAGCTGGTCTCTGTCGAGAAAAACTTGTTCACTGCGTGGAAAGAAAACGATGAAGAGTGTTCTCGGGACTTGGCCCTCATGGTCTACCAGCGCATCTCGGATGGGAAGATCGTTCTCAGGTATGTAACCGAGGGTGACGATGCCCTCTGCCCGGACGAATATGAAGGCCACCTCGAACATGAAAGATATCGTTTGGAAATGAATAGTCCGGGAGAAAAGTTCGATGGCAGCAACGGGAGACTATTGGACACGGATGGAGAGCTTATTGAGGTCCACCTAGGGAGACGCATTCACATCGATTAATCCTTGGTGGGAAAACGTTGCTCTTGGTGCAGTTTTTGTGGTGGCTTGTTTCTGTTAGTACATGTACAAGGTACACGTGTACCGGTAGGACTAATGTTTAGGGTGTTATTTTGTTCTGGAGATTGCTGGGGAAAGAGAGATTGACATGAGCCTTGTACGAGAATTCTGTACAACAAAGGCCCCGCAGTTCTCTGGAGGCAAACGATCAATTCTGTGTGGTCAGGTCTGGACTTGATCAACGACGATGTCTTTGACACCTACGACTGCAGCAGAGCCAACAACGATCGTCGTGACATGGGCCGGGCAGCATTTCGTGGGTGCTCATGTTGGCCAGCCTTTGTCAGCTCGCGTCTACAGCATATCTGCAGGATTACAAACAACCGTCGTGGCGGGTTCAGCCTCCTTTTTCGGCATCGAGACGAACAGCAACGCTCACTCGGAGCTCCTACACGTGTACGAACTCTCAGGACTAACTCTCTCTGCGCAAAATGCTAGCTAGCAGCAATGAAGTCGCCGCGCCAGCCTCTGGCAATCCAAGTCCTATCGATAGAGCAAGGAAAAGCTTTGATATGATATCTACCCAATAGCCACCCCTTGCCATCATACTATATCGGTACACGTATCAACCCACAAATGCCATCTGAATCACAGCCGTATGGGTCCACCAAATAGCCCGTCATCGTGAGCTTGATAAACGCCTCACGAAAGTCTTCCAAGAATGCATGGTTGTCGTTTCTGTACCTCACCATCTCCACAAAGAGGTCACTTCTAGCCATTGGGCATGTTGGCTCATTCCCCGACCTTGGCACAAACTGGCAAGCCACCTTTCCGTTCGCTGCCTTGTTGCCGGCATGGAGTTGACGCACCAAAGCAATGTCAGCATTCGTCATGACAATTTTCTTTTGATTTGGATATCCTTCCCACTGGAAGACGTTTGGCACCCCTTCCTCCATGCCACGGTTGTCAATAAATTTCTGCTTCCAGTTTGCAGCCCTGGTATACTGCTCGCGGATTGTCCTACCAGCCCCGACGAGCTCCCTGTAATAACCATTGTTGAAGACGTCATTGTCCACGGTCCATCCATTGGGAGAGTCATAACCCAAGCTCTCTCGATGCATAACTCCACTGCAAAACGGCAAGAGAAGAGGCTTGAGTTAGCGAGACGCTTCAGCAGAGGATACAAACGACGTAAACGCGACCATTGCCAACATACATAGTGTGTGCGCCTAATATTGCTGCGGTTTCCTGCGGCGAAAACCCAAAGTGTGCGCGGAAGAAAGCTAGAAGATCATCTGTGCCCAAGTTGGGGTCACAGAAGACTGGGTTGGGACCCTCAATAATGTCTGCAGGATCACATGATTTGCGCCCATACGTTTTGAAAGGTATTGCCACAAACGCTGTGTCTGGCATGGCCAGCTCGACACCGACGGAGCTTGCCAACACCCAAATATCGGGTCGACTTAGACCATAAGGCTCATACTTCTGAACACATGGTTCTAAGATGTCTATGGCGATGTTTAACATGCGGTTGTCTCGATTAGCCAGATTAATGCATCCATTGCATCCTCCAAGGCCTGAGAGCGAAAAGAGATATGACGATTTCATGAGACTTGCCGTGGGGTTGTCAATCGATCAAGCAACAACGAAGTTCTCAGCCAGAGCCATCGTGTGCTTTGATCTCTCAGTTAGTGATATGTACTTACAATCATGGAACGTAAGCCGCAGAAAGAGTGCACTTAGCGAAGGTTGCGCAATGATTAGTTGTCCCACATCCTGCTTTGCTGCTGCAATGACACTCGCCATGCTGTCCATGGATTCTGTCGCTGGTGTCTCTGTGGAGTCATACGTCGGGCTATAATTCGAGGGGCCCATGCTAGGTCTTGTACTTGGCTCGTCAGTGGCTGCGACTGGATTACTGTTGGGGTAATAGCTCGGTCTTGACGACGTTGAGGGTGCGGTGCTCCCGGGCTTGACCGTGGGGTAAATCGTCGGTGTCAGCGACATTGGTGGCTTCGGAAGGGGTGTGGCTGCATATGGGAGCGGACCTTTGGTTGTGGCGTAAGGATTATAGGACGATGGGATGGTTGATGTCGTGGGGTAGCTTGATGGAACATGAGATGGGTTGGGAGTGCTGTCTTCCAGATGGGTTCTTGATGGATAGTAAGACGTTGAGGGCCTACTTGATGGAACTTCGCTATTGGTTGGAGGGACCGTATAGCCTGTTGATGATGGTCTTCCAGATGGGTTCCTTGATGGATAGTAAGACGTTGAGGGCCTACTTGATGGAACTTCGCTATTGGTTGGAGGGATCGTATAGCCTGTTGATGATGGTTTTCCAGATGGGTTCATCGATGGATAGTAAGACGTTGAGGGCCTGCTTGATGGAAGTTCGCTATTGGTTGGAGGGACCGTATAGTCTGCAGTTGTGGGATAGCCAAGGTTTGGGGGGGCTACAGGAGTCTCTCCAGTGGGATCCATTGTCATGGGCACCCCTGTTATAGGTGAGAATGATGTGAATTGTGGTGATAATGCGGGGCTTTCCGAAACGCCACACTGTCCGTCGTATCCTTTTACCCGGAATACCTCGCTGTAAGCATAAACATCGTATCCACTGGCATCATCTTCAGCAGCATTACGTGCCAAGACAGCAACGTATGTTCCATGGTCCAGGGGCCACTCATCTTCGTAATCTGCTATAGCCCCGGTGCCTCCAAAAGTAAGTCTCCCTCTATTTGCCTTCCCCCAGCACTTTTGAGTTCCACACGTCCACAGCTTTTTTGTCACAGAAGAATCACAAAGTCAGACTTATGAGGCATGTGGAACCATGTTCATTTACCAAAGAGATTTCAAAATACGGACTTACCCACATACTTGGCTCTGCATCCCCGTTGGACGCGTCGAAATGGTATATCCCCACCCAATCATCCTCTTCTGGATCGTCGGTCTGAAATTTTATCATAATACTTTCACCCAGAAGATAGCACGCCTTGTCCGTGTCTACGGATCCTTCTGCACTGACTTGTACTGCCATAGTAGTCAACATTAGTAATAACAGTGCAGAGGCGTAATATATACAACAACATCTAGAATACAGCCGTCGTCGCTTCATTGTCACCAACGGGATGGACGGGTCCCTGTGGTTGGTTGGTGGTGGCTCAGTTGTGCCCGTCGCTTGATCTAGTCTACTTGTATCCAGCTAGAGCTGGCGTATCTGTCATTGAGTATACCCGCACTTTCGTCCACTTGTTACGGTTGCTGTTGAACCACAAAATTTGCGACTGCCGAAAGAGCCCATTCTTGTGCAAATTGTGAGAGCGTTGAGAGCCAAAAATTTCTTTGGATGGAGGGCGTGTTGCGATTTTGAAGAATACAGCGAGGCTGATTGACACTCAACTCAAAAAGAGAAGGTGTTGGCAGTGGAGGGATCGTGACTGCAGCTTCCACGCGGATGACGATGCGAGGAGAAAGCAATGATCGCAAAACAAACTTCAACAAACAGCTTCATTTCTTTTTGAGATCTTATCTAAGACGACGCATTGTTGCGCAGAGGCATTCCTACTAGCTAGTACACCCCCGCTTCCTTCGCCCCTCTGTAACTTCCAACAGATTCATCATGCTCCGATTTTCCGTCTGCTTGGCACTCGCCCTCGTGAGTGCTTGCCATGGCTTTTCTCTGGACATGTCGGCGGCTGCCAACAAGAACAAGGTTAATGTGATTGCGGGAGCAACCGGGTACATTGGAAAGTCGGTGGTACGAGAAAGTGTCCGTCAAGGATACCAAACGGTTGCCTTGGTCCGTGACAAATCCAAAGTCGAAAATACCCAAGGCAAAGCCTTGTATGGAGAGTTCTTGGATGGCGCACAAGTTGTGGAATGCGATGTCACTGATCCAGAACAACTGCTCAAGGTGAGAATATTACATGATTCGATTCGGGTAGATGATTCATGTATTCAGTTGGGTTGACCTACCTGAACTTAGGTGGGCTTAACTTGATTGAGGCTCAACTTGATTGAGGTCCTAATATGGTTTGGTAGCCTCTACCCAGCTATCCTGATCCCACCTTCTCACGACCATATTATTGTTCTTGCTTTGCTCACTCGCCATCAACACCAAAATCACCACAAAAACGAAACAAACTTGGCTATCACACGTCTACGGTCACGCAACAAACTAACCACAGACCATGAAGGAAATTAGCGCTTCTGCTCCCAACAAAAAACTAGAGGCCGTGGTATCCTGCTTGGCATCCCGTTCCGGAATCAAAAAGGATGCCTATCTTATTGACTACCAAGCCACTTTGAATTGTTTGGAGGCCGGCATGGATAGTGACGTCAATGCGCGCCATTTCGTGCTCCTGTCGGCATTTTGCTGCAAGAATCCGTGGTTGCAGTTCCAACAAGCCAAGCTGAAATTCGAAGCGGCATTGCAGGAGCAAGATAAAATGACCTATTCCATTGTGCGACCCACTGCCTTTTTCAAATCCGTTTCGGGACAACTGGAAGTGGTCCAGTCGGGAGCTCCCTTTGTCATGTTTGGAGATGGAGAAGTCACACGATGCAATCCCATGGCGGAATCAGACTTGGCAACCTATCTGATTGACTGCATTACGGACAAGTCTCGATATGGCAAGATCCTCAATATTGGTGGACCAGACGAACCATTGACAATGAAGAAACAAGGAGAGGTACGTACTCTTGCAGGTTGAAGGGCCAGCTCTACATTTGCCCTACCGCCACATCTAACTTTAATGCTTTTCTCACGCTTCTACCCGTCCTCTCGATCTGTTTCACGACACTCTACGAATTGCATTCACCACAAAACAACAATCCATTTGCCGTCTCTATTATTGCCCTGCTCATTCATTCCATTCATGTATGTCAAAGATGCTCTTTGACGCCGTGGGCAAAGAACCCAACTTCTTCTTTGCCCCACTTTGGCTCTTTGATGCCATTATTGATTCCCTGCAATTCTTGGCGGATACCTTCAACAGCGAAAAGTTGGAAAACGCCGCCGAAACCGGCCGCATTGGAAAGTACTATGCCGTCGAAGACATGTTGACCACAGATCCAGAGGAAAAGTTTGGCACCATCACCTTGCAAGAACACTACAATCGCATTGCTGTGGAAGGCCAAGAGTACGACCCATACACAACCGTCTTTGGAGCGGCACCACCTGCCAAGGAAGAAGAAAAGGCCGCTGCCAACTAACTAACTACCGTAGCTTGGCAACATGATGAGAGCAACGTAGCTAACTAGCCGACGAGATAGAAGGGTAATGCAACCTATTAAGGAATCCCAGAAGATTTGCGTTGAGCATGCCAAAAACTGTTGTTGAAAATTTGCCAGGTGCTGGCTGCTGGATGAGGGATCTTGGAATGACACAGTACGAGATGCCGAGTGTGCATTGAGAACACATAATCCGGCGGATCGTTGGGCTACGGTAGTCAGCTAGCTACATATGTAGTCGTATCGAGGTGAACGGACTTCAAATGACGCAAAGGCATTCTCATACTGTGAAGAACTCAATGGTTTAGAGATACTGTGGTCTTCAATACTATCTTTTGCTTGCTTGTTCTACTGTATACATACATCACAACCTACTGCAGTTTCAAATGTTCATGGTGGCCTTCAAAACTTTCCGGTGACCAATGAGTTCATCATGTTGCCGGGCATAGAAGACCGACTGCTTGGTTGTCTCCCGGTTGCAGTTTGATGGTCCTCCTGCAGATCACTGTCAAGTGTAAACAATGGAGGAGGGCGTTCATAGTCCGTTGATGGAGCTGTGAACCGTCGTGCCGGTCCGACACTCGTCTGTGGAATGGGATCGGGCAATCGGAACGAGCCGTCTTTGAATGAGTTTTCTTTGACAATTGCTGGTGGTGCGGGAGTGGTCACTGGCTGTTCTTCTCCAGAATGTGGTTTCAAATCTCCAGACTGGACTTGTTCCTCTGTGGGTTTGTTGTCATAATCTAATCGACGTGGTTCCAAATTGTTGTCATCCACCTTGTCATCATGGTTTGGTTCTGCGGGGGATATTGTGTTTTCAGGTTCGGTGGGGGTTGTTGCATTTTCGGGTGTTGGGACATGTCGTAGATTGAGTTTCATCCAAACCGGTTTCTCGCCGTTCTCCTTTTCAGCAGAATCTAGGTCAACCTCAGCTGTAGAATCGTGGAGTTTTCCAACATCTGATGGAGTCCTCTTCAAGCTATCCACACCACTCACAATGCTAATATCTGATTCATCATACTGACCCCCGCGGGATCGATCCGAATCTGGTCCCTTTGGTACGTTGGGTGTGATTTTGTGAAAGAAGTCCAGGTCGACAACAAGGCTTTGGTTGATGTCCAAGCAAACACAATCTGCAAAGTGGGCTTCACCAAAGTGAATGTCTTCCACTTGATAGGACTGAATAGCCTGAAAGGTACCCGAAGCCAGTGGATCAATGCCCTCTACAATGCACAATACTTCTGAAATGTCCGATCGAAAGAACTGTTCCAGCTGCTGCAGTGACCAGGTTGTTGACTTTTCAAGCAATCTTGCCCAATCATCCCAATCTACCTCTCTGTGACTTCCTCTAAAGGGAATATCATCATGAGTTTCCGTCATAGAATTGAATTTGCCATGCTTGATCAGTCGTTCCACCGTCCCATAGGATTCCCCACTGCAGGACAAGATGATGTGAGCACATGTTGGTAAACTCGTAAAAGTGCAACAATGTTCTCAATGTCTTGCTTTTCTCTTACCAGACAGGACAAATCACATCATCACGGTTGTTGGTTAGAGCATCCACTTGCCGTAGGTGCAAGCCACCATGGGGCACAGTAGGTGACGCGAGGCATCTGGGTTTTGCCTGTGGCACCATGGGGCTGTAAGCATCCATAGCATGCACAACCTGACTGGGAAGACTGAGCATCAGCATCGACCCATAGTCATCATTCGGGATAACGATTCGAAGAGGAATTGGGATGGGTGATTTTTGTGTGACAACATACATTCTGACATGAGCTTCTACCACTGGGAAGGATCCATCGACATCAAACACTCGAAATGAGAAGCACGGATATGGCACATCTGGCCGATTGCTGATGATAGCCTTGTTGGAAAAAATGACTTGGATTCCACGTGATTCGCACTTGGCAATTCTCGCAAAGAAAAATGCAAATAAGAATGCATTGAACATCATACTCCAGACCTCAAAGGTGGGACAAGGAGTGACAAAAAAGTCAGTTGTTATCTACCTCCTGATACATCAACCAACAACCATCATGTGATATTTGCTTACCATTTGAAAGTAAATGGCCACAACGATATCAGGGCACTGGTTTTCAAAGAAGGCATTGGTTCCGTTTGGCAGGCCATATCTTAGGTAAAGTAAACAGCCCCCATTTGAGACAGATTGTTTCATTCTCGTGATCCATATCACACTGACTGCTTGACTCACCCAACAGTAGTACAAGTCTCCAATGAGAATGCAAATGCCGGTCCCAACTGAATCGGCTGTCCAGGAGCTCCTAGACCACAATTCTCATCGAGGCGATCTCTATCAATTCTCATGTAGATTGCGGCAAAGATTAGAATGCAAATGGTCCAAACACTGAGTAGAAGGAATAAGGATAACCACAAATTCAATCGGAGGCCCACATGGAACCAATCATTGAACAGCAACGAAAACAAGCGCAACTCGGAATGTTGATTGGTGACTCGTAGGGTATTCTTGGATTGATAGAAAGGCAAGTTCCGTTTTATAAGACGATGCTTGCTGGAAAAGACAGTCTTGGCTGGACTCAGACTGCTGGTAGGGAGCATGTGGGCAGTGGTCCCAATGCCAAATCGAGGTCGCGGGGGAGGAACCATCCGGAGGGAATGTCTTCGAAAGGGCGATGGCGATCGGTTCGAACGGCGACGGCTTCTGTGGTGGCTAGAATCGCCCAAACCTCTGCTGGTTCTTCGGCTGCTTCGTGACCTGTTCATGCTGGAATCCATCTTGTGTGTTGATCTGATTGATGCTCTGGGTAATGTCAAACCATGCAAGTTATGGCTGCTTGGAGGAGAGCGCAGTAAACCTGAAGCTGCAGAAATAAAACTGAAGCCTCTGTTTCCGTTGTGGTGGCAGCCTTTCAAGGGATTGTGTTCCGTGTGTCTGCTTTTTCTCCGGAATCAAATGAGCAGCTGTGCGATCTATACTACAGCTCCTACAAAGAACAACAGTCATGGATCAAAGGGTGAAGGCCAGACATCAAATGGGAGTTTCTCGCCAAAGTTGGCATGCGAGAGATCTTTGCTCCCTTCCGCCAATTGCCGCCAAGCAGCACAACTTTTTTCTGTTCCTTTCTTTTTTGGTGTCACGGTAGCATCAAGGCTGGTACATGTACATGCACCTTCGCTAGCTAGCAGCGATAGTTAGCAGGCTCCAGCCACAACTCTAGCTAGAGCCAGTTTAGGTACGGTTCCGGTATCCCACGCAAAGGTGGCTGCAAGGGGGGGGGACTTGACGTGTCTCATGATTCAAAGCCAGGCCCGTGGACCGCAGAGGTGCAAGTGGTACCGGTTCCGGTAGCCTTGAAAGCGAAGGAAAACCACTAGAAAGGCCATCTGTCAGCCATAGTCTGCATGCTTTCAAGACAGCTTGCTGGTCATCGCTAGAAAGTTCTATTAGTATGCAGGCAAGCAGGAAAGTACTAGTAGACAGGCACTTTTGGGCCTTTGGGTTGCTGTGAACCTCCAGGTTTGAACAATCTTCTTCTTGTTACTGCCGACCTCCAGGTTCAAAGCGTTTCCTTTCTGCGACTACATCATGCGTCTCATCTTCACTTTCCTCAACCACAGTATCAGTTGTGAAGCCAAGCTTGGCAGCTTCTTCATACAGGGTCTCAAGTCCACTTGTGCTAGCCAGGCTGTTGTGATTGAAGATTTGGGGAAGGTGCTTGTCAGCAACAATCTTCACGAACTGTAGTGGGATAGCACCTGGTTGCATGAAGTTACTGTAGTAGTTGAATACGGGCATTTGAGGCAGTGACTCGGCAAAATAAGGTGGCACAGGCAAGAGAGACTGGTAGTAGCTATTGACGTTCGTTAGAAGCACGGAAAGGGCGGGTGGTAGAAGGAATTCCAACATGTATAGCAAGCCCGACGTGATGATCGGATATCCAATGTTGACTTGTTGCACCGATGCGGGGAACCCAGCTACAGTGGTATCGGATGGCTCCTTCGTTCCTCCATACGTTATTGTTGTGATTGGAACTTCGCGCCCCTCCCAAGCATCCCTGTTCTTCCATAGCTGCATTACCATGCTTGAAAAGATGCAGGCGGTGGACCCAGCTGCCCCGTCTGAGACGATCACAACTTCGTCGAAGAAGAAATCATTCTGGAATGCCTGAGCCGCTGCTTCGTAGTACAACTGTTCCTCTAAGATGGTAAATTGATTCGTTAGGTTCACAACTTGACCTCCTCGAACGACCTTGTGTATTTTATTGGGGTCAACAAACCCACGCTGCAAAGTTTGTAACACGTTGAACGGATTGTACTCGTCAAAAGCCTCAGTAAGTTGTTGCAGGAAACTGCGCATTTGAGGAGCACTTGGAAATTGGTTCATTGTCTGGGCTGATACACTCAAGTCAAAAAGTGGAAAGCAGCGTTGCAGGTTTTGACATGTTTCCAACAAAATGTCGTTGCAGCAGAAGCCCAGCAAGGATTCGATCATAGAGCTCACGAGCTCGCCAGTACTGGTCGGTGAAGCTTCAATGTATGCTTCTAGTTGAGTGTCTGTCAAGAGATTGACCTCTAGCTTTAGACTGTCCATCACCGGTGAGACGGTGTCGTTGTAGGCCAGCATCACAGAGTTGTAGGTTACGTCGAATTGACGCTCGAAGACCTTGTAAGGGGCAAAGGGGAACAAAGATACTGCCAACTGATAGCCGGAGGTAATGACTCTGAATTTTTGGTTTGCGGTGTACGAGTCGCCGTCAAACATGGTCAGCGACTGTTGCAAGTTGCAAGTGAGCATAGCAACGTTTCAACTTACCCCCCGCCATTTCCACTGATATCTATCATCGCCTTCGTCACTCCGTTTTCTTTTGCTGCCGCTGTAAAGTTCGACCAGATGGAAATCATGGCTGGGTTACCATCATCGTCAGCTTCAAAGGCAAAGCTCTCAATTTTCAGGACGGCAAATTCGTCATGAATCTTGTACGCCGCAACGTCCATCCTCTCTCCCGACAGCTGGCTTCGTAGGTTGATCACTTCATCAAATTGGTATCCTGTATCATCACCATCAACCTGCTTCAATACTTCTAGTTCCACGTCGGTCGTCTTGGGTGTAGATTTCCTCTGTTGAGCGTCTTTGGTCGTTGCCGTCACGCCTTGGATCTGGCTAACAGCAATTTGAAAATTTTGGTAGGCTGATCCGGGTGTGTCTAGGTCAAGATTGTTAGAGTTCAAGAGATCATACACCGTCGAAGTATTCAAACCACGATACCGTAGCCCGGAAAAGTATGTCTCAGATTCTCCGCTCGCGTATGTGACAACGAAGGCATCAGGAAGTATCGAAGTTGGTCTCGACCTGGAACCAATAGTGAAAACCACTCCTTCGGGTGCCCTGCTGCTGGAGGTTTCGAGTCTTTTGAAAGCACCGTTCATTCGGGCACCAATGGATTGATACGGGAAGTTTATGGCTGCTTCGGGTTTGGAAACGAGGTCCAAAACGAAGTCGTAGGGCGCCATGTCGTTCATAGACACGACGATATCCTCGGTTTGATTGCCATCGTATGATTCCCAAATCACTTTGAGCTGGAACTCGCCACCCTTGAGATAGGAAGGACGCATCCAAGTCCGTGCTATCCTCCTGGATGGATCAAGGTTTCGGTCAGGAAAGATATTTAACAGGTGCAGATCTGCTAGCTCACCAGCCACACCTGCGAGTCTGGGAAGCGACACGTGAGCATCAAAGAGCTTGTTGCTGATTGTTTGAAGATCCCAAAAGGTAGCTAGGGATGCTGCCCCAGATTCGACGGTCTCCAGCAAGGCGCCGATCTCTTCCGTAAGATCGACCTGTCCTGCTAGAGGACCGGAAAAGACCGAGTACCCAAGCTCCGGCTGGAAGCTTATAGGGTTGCTATCACTGGCATTGCTTGCAATATCGTAGAAGCAATAATACTGTTGAAAGGTTTCCTTCAAGTTAGCAATGTGCGAGTAGAGCAAGGTCTGGTTGACTGATTGGGATGCTAGGCATTGTTCAATGAATGACGGCTTGAAGAAGTCCACGGCCAAGTCTCGGATGGCAGGACAGCGTCGTCATATGCAATGGCGGCGCATGGGCTGATGGGATCTTGAAGCTGCCTGTGTTGTTGCAATCTTGAGCGGTATAGGGGTTCCTCCGGAGAGTCAAGGTTGGCGGCAACCGCGTTTTGCAACAATGCCACAACGAGACAGACTGGTACAACGACCGTACAATGTCGTCGAAGAGACCAGCAGAATGTTGGTTCCATTGTTGGCTATGACCAGAGCCTCATGGCATGTCTATCCCATTCGAGTGCTACGGTACCTGGTACATTTGTACGTTCTGAACGGACACATTCGGCTTCAATGGCCGGATTGAGGACGAAATCGGGCATGCATTATTGCTGCGTGGGAGACGCCGAAAATTTCTCAATTCCCCAAGATACGATGTGCCTTGGCGCCGCAAAAACTCCAATGTGATCCTGCTGACCATCATTCACTATTCAATCACACAGAAGGAGCTATAGTGCTGGGTCCCTCCCAGTCTTCACACCAAGCAAGCAAAATCTCTCTAATTAGGATGAAGGACAGCGGCTACCGGTACCAAACTTGGACACAACCAACCAAATCAACAGCAAGTAAGAGGATGTACAAAAATGCTAACCTGATATCTATTGAAGCAGGCTTGGTGATGATATGCCAGCCACCATCTAGGTGATGGAGTGATCTGGTACACGATGGTGTTTTGTGGAAGCCATCAGCAAAAAGGTGCCCCCATTGGAATCAGAATGACAAATCAACCATTCCCAGAGCATCAACATCTATCTTTTACAATGCTAACTAAGACTTGCTATTACTATTGCCAGTTTCTCCCTCCTTCTGCTCTGCTTGATTCTTTTGAAACCACTCATCGCTGTTCCATACTGGTTCAGTCAGCTTGTTGGCTTGATTGGCTTGTGCCATGCTTGCTTGGAGAGTTCTTCCCATGAGATTGGCACCATTGCGGTTGAATATTGCTTCTGTGGCATCCTCAGCTTCTTCGAACTCTACAAAGGCAAACCCCTTGCTGGTTCCTTTGGCATAATCCATCGGCTAATTTATTGTTGATGGGGATTATTTTGGAGAAGGAGACGACAAAGACGAGCAAATCAACCAGAGTTTGTCAGGTTCGATTGAATTCATCAAAGCAACACGGAGATCGAGAAGGCAATATCTGAAGAACTTTTTGGCTTGGATTGGGCTGGGTTACACGTACCATGTCGATGGAATGTATGGGCCCAAAAGGGATCATACAGGCTCGAAGCAGCGGTATGGTGACTTCATCTGCCAAACCACCTACATAGACTACTCGTTTGGAATTCAAGATGGATGGATCTGTCATTGTTCTTTTCAAGGAAAGCCTGTTGAGTATAGAATCCTTGCTGAAGGGCCAAACGATGAAGAGGAGACTTGCAACCGCACAAGAGGAGCATGACGGTGACAAGTACTGGGGTAACAACCTTGCCGCTGTATTACTGGGGACAGGGGGAGGTGGTGGCATGGCGTGGTGGCAGGTTCCTTTTCAACACCGCAAAGATTTAAGCCCACTTGCACCTTTTACAGTTCCGAACATTCTTAACAACAGGGTTTTCTACAGGGATTTTCTCTTCAGGGTTTCTACCTAATAAAGGCTTTCAAAAGCAAGAAGAGTCGAGTCGAGTCGAGTCTGAGCTCAGGTTCCAAGGGATTCGATTCAAGGGGTGATAAATTGAGGACCAGTTCCCAGCATTCTTTGATGTGTCGCAGCCGACCACTTACCGTTTACAGCCTACCTGAACTTGTCCTTCTAGCTAGCTAGTAGGGCAGATTAAATTTTACAATGGCTCACCGCACAAGGTGCAAGACTTGGCTCTTGAATTCTTTGTTTGGCATTTTGCATGGACAAAGTAATCGAGTTGACCCACAGGTTGGTGAACTTGCTCGGAAGCATCCCAAACCACGAGTGATGAGTGGGTGGTATACTCGCAGCATCGTTTTTCGTGGGGCTTCAACTTGTGCGGTCACGGGTCCGTGCACCCGAGCATCCAGCGTTTGCCACCCAGTCATCACACATGAAACATCTCCATAAGTCTAGATAAGACTGACTTTCGACAATGCCACGACAATAAGTCCTTCTCGAAAAATGGTTAACTCCCACGACGTGCTCCCACATGTATGTAGATCTACTGCTGCTGCCTCGATCGATGGGGATGATTGCCAATGGACAATTTAGTTGGTCCACCACCACAATCTAGGCATTCACCAAAGAAGAAGGAGCGATCTCAATAGCGCAGAAGAGGCGAAGGAGAAGATGGCAACCAACCAACCCGAGCAGAGCAGTGAAGGTTCCACTTTGAAGCGAGCTGGTGGTAGTTTGCACAGCAAGCTCACCGCAACAACCCACACCATGGAAGGACCTACGATATGTTCACCCCACCCCATGACGCCGAGCAAGAAACGATCCTTCCTCGTGGGGCATGTGCTGAAGCCCATGAGGTTCGCAGGCAAACAGTTGTCCAACTTAAGCGATGCAATGATCTCCAGCACCCCGCGACGATCCAACTCTACGCGTAGCTTGAACGCTGCGGCTGCAATCGCTGATGCGACCTTGACGCTGAACAATTTGGATATTTCAGATCCTGTTTCCCCGTCACACTCAACGTCCGAACAACCAATCTCTCCTTCTGCGCAAACTCATGGCAGCACCCGTCGTAGCCAAGGACGCCGACGCCCATCTAGAGCTCTCTCCTCGTCTATGTCATCCAATGCTAGTCATAGAAGCATCAGCACGAGTCGACACGACAACACTAGAACTGGCCGTCATAGAAGCATCAGCAGGAGTCGACAAGACAGCACTAGGTCTGACCGTCATAGAAGCACCAGCAGGAGTCGAAAAGGCAGCACTAGGTCTGGCCGCCATAGAAGCATCAGCAAGAGTCGAAAAGACAGCACTAGGTCTGGCCGCCATAGAAGCATCAGCAGGAGTGGACACGATAGCACCAGAGCTAGCCGTCGCAGAGGACGCGAGAGGGAATTGGAGCATTCCAGTGGCGAACCAAGAGGGACTAGTACTCACAAACCCAGAAGGGGACGTTCCAACAACCGAAAACTCTCGAACAAGGTCTGCGGACGCAGTGCATCCGTCACCAGCTCTAGCAGCAGACGACTGTCTTCCTCTGCTGCTGCAAGTAGGACTAGTAGTAGGCCCAAACAGCCAAGACAATCCAAAGAGTCACGAGGTCCCATCACGTCCGAAAAGCCACCCCCCAAACGGAAATCATCGGGCTCCTCTTCTTCTCGTCGATCTCCACCCAGTCGGACTCACAGCGCTGCTGGCGGTGCAGGAACGAGACTGTCCCTGCAGATAGAACTTCAGGAGCAAGCACAATTGGCAAGGAGTTTGACCTTACCCGCCACTACGCCAACCTTACCCGCACCCGCCGCTACTACGCCAACCTGTTGGGTATGCAATGCATGCAACTGTACGGAAAACGAACAGCGATTCAACTTTTGCGTTGGATGTGGAATACCCAAATCCAGTGCGAGGATTCCAGCCAAAGCTGCTTGACTAGATGCGGTAGAGTAGCTAACTTGCTAAAAGACGACTCTGCCACCCCGAGTACAATTCTACATTCTAGCTAGCTACATGTAGCTAGCTAGTGAGAGCTGAACAATTCTGGAGAGGAGTGGATCACACTAGGCGCCCAAACAGCACTGCCCGGTCTCGCTCTCTGGCCTGTTTATTGACCAGCACCAACCTTCATGTCATTGCTCGTACCTCTAGATTTTTCTCTCCGTCTATGCTACTGAGCTACCGGTAGGAGCTACAGTGTACCACTATGTAATGTTAGTCTTCATGCCGCTGACTGACTGTGTGAATTGGTTTTGCGCACCTTTCGCGCCGTTGCTGCCGTGGGGCAAATGTGGGTCTTGGGTGCAGAGGGTTCGCAAATCCAAGGCCGTTTGGCACCACCCGTTGTTTCGTCCTTCCTCCCCCCTAAAAAGCTTGTCTCTCATCTCTCATCTCCCAAGTTTGTTTTGTTTGGACACCCGACCGTAAGAGCAGACAACAAACAAAACCTTTGTGTACAGATCGAAGCCTCGCTACCTCTATAATAATATGCCCGAATCCAATGCTGCTGCCAAGGTAAGGCTCTTACTGAAGCTACAATCTCACAAGACAACTCCTCTGATGATTGGCTCCTTTTCTCGTACTACAGCGCCGAACCTTCAAGGCCAACCGAGCGGCTGGTCTAGGGGATGAAAGTGGACGTCTTACTCGAGTCAAGGAGCCTCCCAAGATGAGCAAATGCACAGTCTGCCAACTTGAGCTCAAGATTACGAAAACCAACACAGAACTGACGGCACATGCAACCTCCAAGCATGGATCGACACTCGATGCGTGTTTCCCAGGGGCTAGCGCTGTTGCAGCGGAGCTGGCTGCCGGTGGCAAAAAGGGAGGAGGCTCCGCTGGTGGTCCGACCAAGAAGCAACAAAAAGCCAAGAATGCGGATGATTTGGACGACCTTCTGTCAGCAGGGTTGAGTGCTGGTGCTGGCAAGAAAAGGGGAAAGAAATAATAAATGTCGCAACAATTTACTCTCTTATATGAAGTGCTCTAGCTAGCCAGCCAGCTAGCTAGCTACACAGGATACGGTGGGCGTAAATCTTGGTTTTGACCTGGATGCAGTTCGCTACTCCCGTATCCAGCCTCCACCAGCTTCTCCGCCAATACTCTTTTCAGCTACGAAGTACGAACTTTCTGCTACATAGAAATAAGGACTAATATTTGGCTTGCCGGTATATTTCGAGGTATACTCGTGCTTTGGCATGTGAATGCGATACACACCACCCGACCTAGCTAGCTCGGGGAGCGGCAACGCCAGATTGAAATGTTGGTTTGCTTCAGGATGTTGGAAATCAGTGCGGCCAGTCTGGAAGCTCCTTCGTCTCCCAAGCTAAATATCTACATCTGGTGGCCCCAGTTAGTTGGGCTTGTCTGGACTAGCAATCTACTGCTACACGGTCTCGTTTCTTTCATTCTTTCCTAGAGTCTAGCTACTAGTCCAAGAACGGTGAGTGTGGACTACTGGAAAAGCAACTGAAAACGCATAAACAAGAAGAATCAACAATTTTAAAAGTATTCAGACCCAGTGATAGAAGGAAAAGATGCAACAACTCGAGGGGAAACAACCTTCAGGCATTCCTGCTCTGGGACAAGAAGTCTTCAACCCAGGCTTTCACTTCCACCGTGGCCCTTGACAGATCACCATCTTCATCCCAAGGGCAGCCATTTTCCATGGCGTATTTCAGAACTTCCAAATCCACAAGCCATCCAAAAGCTCCAAAAGCAGCTTCAGAGCATGTTGCTGCATCCCATGGACACCCATTGGTGTGGGCATATTTGAGGACGTCCAAATGGTTCCCACGGGCAGCTTTAGAACATGTTGTTGCATCCCATGGACATTCCTGTTCATGGGCATACTTCAAAACTTCTAAATGTCCATTGGCAGCAGCTTCCAAGCATGTTGTTTCATCCCATGGACAGCCATTTTCTTGGGCATATCTGACAAGTTCCAAATGGCCATTCCTAGCAGCCCCAGATCATGTCGTTGCATCCCATGGACAGCCATGTTCGTGGGCATATTTGAGGACTTCCAAATGCCCTCCAAGAGCAGCACTAGAACATGTTGTTGCATCCCATCGGCAGCCATTTGCACGGGCATATTTGAGGACTTCCAAATGGCCTTCACCAGCAGCAACCCAACATATCATCCGTTCATCCCATGGACAGTCATTCTCATGTGCATACTTCAAAACTTCCAAATGGCCTCCACGAGCAGCTACTGAGCATGTTGTTTCATGCCATGGACAGTCCTTCTCATGGGCGTATTTGAGGACGTCCAAATGGTTCCCATGGGCAGCCCACATACATGTCCAAACATCCCATGGACACCCATTCTCATGGGCATATTTCAGGACGTCCAAATGGCCAAATTGAGCAGCAGCTCGGCACACATCCACATCCCAATCCAATCCCTTGTTTCGGGCCCAATGGAGAACAGCAACATTACCTTCTTTGGCAGCTGCAACACAAATCGAAGATCTCGCAAATTCTTCACCACCTCCAGCATAATGGTGGGTGAACCAGTACTCGGCACGAGGAACACTGGAGACAATTGCAGAGTCCATTGTCCCTTTAGGGGGTGCTGATTCATTGCCAGGCCGGGACTTCACAGAGGACTTCACATATGGAGGATTCTCCTCATAATCGCAATAGGTGGTGTAGAGATCTTTCATCTTGTGGCTGACTGGTGCCACAAAGGCATAGTGGCCCATGCCCAGAAATGAAAAAATGCCGTCATTGCCAGTCCAAACATCCTCATGTTCCAAGCAGGATTTTGCTTCTGAGACAGTAACTGTTGCGGCATTTTGCGTGGAAGGGTCAGTATCCGTTTGTTTGGAACGCTTTTGCTGCTCCTGTACTTCGGCGCTTCCATCATTGGCTCTCTTGCATTTGCCTTCCTCCATCTTGGTTCGGCTATTGGTTCTTGCTCAGTTGTTGTGGCAACCACTGCCTGGTTGCAATTAATTGTTGTTGCTGTGTTGTCCACGATCTTATCTACCTTTGACCTCCGAAGTCGCTTGGATAATCCCTCTCTCTAATGTTGGCGAGAGAGAGAACTCCGCCAAGACATGTGAAGGATGCGAACCCCAAAGCGAACCCTCGTCTCCTGCCACCACTCTCCACCGACCAACTCTTCTGTTGGGCAAGGCCCCTGTTGCAATTTTTGGTGATGCTTGTGATGATGTTGATAGGTTGAGGTGCACTGGAGAGCCGCAACGACAGCCAAGACTTCGTGTTTTTGCCTCCAGCTTCCGGCACAGTCGCCAGTTGCTGCATGTATTTGGATCATAAGATCGAAAGCTTCCATCAAGTATTGACATCCACCGAGCCCGAGGTTTTAGGTGAGTGAATCGAGTAGACCGATCCATGACCTTGTCCGTAGCGGTGGGCACGGCATCTTCTGGGTGTCAGAGGACTTTCAAGGAATTCTGGCATCAAGCCAACAAATACGACCGATCGGCAATACCTTCGTCACTGGGCTTGCTATTTTACTCACTGATCACTGATCCTCTGATGTTGCTTCTCATTGATTTCAGCTTGTACGAATCAGACATACCTCCATTACACACCTTTCGACCCTCGAGACTCGAGAGAACACAAAACAGTCAGTAAGTTGAAAAGGTTGGTGGGTCGCTCTCTCCGTCAACTCTTGGCTCCAGATGATTAGCTAGCTAGCTACCGGTAGCAAGCCGGATTTTCTGCCTCTTGCATTTCTGACGCCACCGCTGGCGGTTGTTTCCTTCCTTGCTGTCCTCCTTTTTAGGTCCAAAGATAAACGTTTCAATAGCCAATAATACGCCAACATGTTCAAAACGCTGCGAGTAAAGATGCCAAAGCTTGCTGTAAAACCAAAACCACCCCCCTGCCCGCCAAAAGAGACTTGTCAAACTCCCACCCAAGAAGCCATTGTCGACAATGATTCATCCAAAGAAGAAAACACTGCCACAAAAGTTGCCACAAACGACAGTACGAGTCCGGACAATAACAACGACAACCAATCCATGCCAGCAGAGGAACCAGCCCAAATCTTGATTGCCGGAGGAGGAATCGTGGGGCTGTTATTGGCATTAGCCTTGAAGAAGAATCTCCCATCGGTCGCCATTGACGTATACGAGCAAACACACGGGTTTGACCCGGATGTTGGAGCCGGTATGGGTCTCTATGCCAATGGATTGCGTGTTGTCCGAGACATTGATCCGGACTTGCTGAAAGAGATTCAGGACGCAGGGTATCCCTACTTGTACCGTCGGTGGGAACGGCATGACGGAACTGCGGTCGCCGAGGCAGATGAAGGAGTTTTGGGCAGTGGAGCCGCGACAGCAGACGAAGAAGAGAAAAATGATGGCGACGGACTCCAGACCATGGGGATTCGACGTTGGAAGCTTCAGCAAGTTTTGCATACGGCTGTAGCAAAGGCGGGCATTCCCATTCACTTCTCCAAGAAAGTGGAGGGCGTAGAGACACCCCAAGATGGCATGACGGAGGTTGTGTTTGCGGATGGCTCACGCCGGAAAACCCAGTTGCTGGTTGGTGCGGACGGTGGTAGATCTGCTGTCAGATCTATTCTGTTGGAGCAAATGTACCCCAAAAGCGATCCGGATGCTGCCACTGCCAGCAACGTCCGCAGCAGTTCCAAGAATAAGAAACCCACCCTGAGTTACACTGGTGTCACGTGCATCATGGGTGCGGCCCCTCGAAACAGTCACCGGGGTATCTCCTTTCCGGTATCCAACACAACTCGTTGTCACGGGGCCTTCTATCCCACTGGAGCCAACGAAGAGTGTTTCCAATTCCACTTTCCCGTGGGCGCACAGCAGGACATTTCTTGCAGCGATGCGGATGATTCGTGTTGGGGAAACCTCAGTCAGCAAATGAGCCGCCAAGAATGTGGTAGATTAGCTGAGATTCTGGAGAAGGACGGATGGGACGAAGACAAGTATCTTGCACCTCTCCGGCAGGTAACTCGTGCTGTCCGTGTGGGGTTCTGTAAATTGTCCCCAGCTCTCAAGGCATGGTCCTTTCCAAATGCAAAAGGACAGCCAAGGACAATATTGGTGGGAGACGCAGCTCATCCACCGGTTCCGTACATTGGCCAGGGAGCACAGCAGGGCATGGAAGACGTGGGGACCCTGGCACTTTTGCTAAAGACATTTTGTTTGGACGATCAGGGTCAGTTTGACTTGAGCAATCTACATCGCGCCGTGCACGTGTATGAGAAAATCAGAATGCCAAGAGTGGCATCGATCCTGTCAAACGCTCACGAGATGGGAAGGTTTCAACAGAAGAGAGCCGAAAATCCGGCGTACAACATCATCAAGGAGGAGTAAGTACCGCAGCAAAGTGTGGGGCCGAAGACGGTCTCTTATGCTTCGCTTTCCACCTGCTAAGCTCTTGTTTGCTTCCTCGCTACGAAAGGATGATCCAACGGGATGTCTTCTTCCATGAAACCATGCCAGTCATGTTTGAAGGGGCACGGCATGACTATCGCAACGACTTGAAAAGAGAGCTAGAGCACATAGCAAAGGAACGCGGAGGACTACCGCTTCGAACGATTGCTGAGACGTGACGAACCTAGCTACCAGGTAGTGTTTTTTCCTGCCGGTCTCACCGGTTGCACTTTGTGACCAAGCCAGCTATCAGTTTTCGCCCCCTCGTCCATCAAACATCGCACCTTTTCGAGCAAGCGATTGTACAATAGTGAGAAGCGCGCTTCAAAATTAAGGCCAGGAGCAGCCGATGTACCATGAACCATCCGGCGCCCTTAGTCCTAGAAGCGACCTAGCATCCTACATTTACCCATATCTGTAGACTGGTATTTCGCCCGACCCTGCTCCAGCTGATACTCTCAGAATGGATTATCACAGAGATGGAATCTTTCACCGTGACAACCTGATCACACTCGTTTGATTGGACCCAGGCTAAAGAAGCAAAGTGAGAGCGACCTGTTGGCTTGTCAGCTAGCCAGAGGATACACAATCTAGCAATCTAGCTAGCTAGCCCGTATCCGGCATCGTTTCAACTGGGCACTGGTGAGCTGGTCGAGGCATTCGGAGCTCAATAGTAGTAAGAGGTCATGTGATGGTTCAAGAAAGATCTAGTTTTAAGGAGGTACTAGAGTAAATCAAAACGGACCACCAAGTCAGGTATGATGCAGTCACCGATGGTTCCAACATCAAAACATTCGTGATACCAACAAAGCAGCTGGCTAAGCCGCGACAGAAAAAGGTCAAGTTGGTACCATGTCGTGTCAAGAAAGAAACCACGGCGCTGTCAACATCCTGCATACTGACACAAGTTGCGCGCACATATAATAATATTTGGAGTGTTGGAGATGGGAGAAAAGGGCTCCGTCAAGCATTGGAAGAAATCAGAGGAAGGCACATGGATTCCCATCAAGTGATCGCTGAAGTGGGTGCGACCTGTAATGGCAATCCGCAGTAATCCATTCTCTGAGATTCGATTCGTAGCAGACGGAGAACCTCCTGGAGAAAGGCGTTGCACTCTGGAAGAATGCAAGCGGTTCAATTGCAGCTGAGAGGTAGCTGCTTGGGAGAAGTTATACAGAGCTCGAGAGTCCAATCGCGATAGCAAAGAGCAAGCACCTTCACAAACCAATCCCCTCGTTTTGCAAGTCACCTGATGCCAAGCGGCGCGTGTGGCTAGCACGCAGCAAGAAAGGAAACACAAGGCATAGGATCGTATTGAAACGAGGAATTGGAGGGAAAGCGGCTCATTCAAAGACAACCACCGAAGAGAAACCGAGATTCTGAAACTTGGAAGGAAAAAGGCAAGCTGCTAACTGAAGCCCGAAGATTGTACTTGGGGAATCGACAGGGTAGTAGAGAGCTTTTCTGTTTCGAGAGGGCCGCACGAAACTGTCCTCGGTAATAGTAACCGAGCCAAACAGCTTTGCGTGGTTCTGCAAAACAACGTAGTTGAGGAGGCCTTGTAGATTGGAATGTGATAAAACGGCATCACATGCTCAGCCACAAGGCGGGAATTGGTGGATGGAACCGAAAGAGTTGGCTGGTCCAAAGGGCGCTTCACGCAGAAAAGGTAGCAAGTGCGTGAAGCTGGTTGGTGGCGAAACCCTTTGGAGAGCGGAACTCTTTTGTCCACTCTGGGGTCTCATCCATGGAAGGAGATTGGAAAAGAAACCCAGAGCGAGAAAGAAGGAAGAAAGGATGGCATTTTGACCATGGGTGATGGGGGCTTGTGGGATGCTAGACTTCAGGCAAGTCATCTAGCACAGGTACCACAAATCATGATTTCAAATAATCCACATAATAAACATCCTTCTTTCTCATCCGAGTCGACGCACCGCAAACGACGGAAACGACGACTTGAATTCGACTTCGCTGCTTCCGCCACAGAAGGAGCCCTCTCTCTTTGAAGGTTTTGAGAGAGAGGTGACAACGAAAAGATCGTTATCGGCGTAATCGCACAAATATGAATTTGTGGGAGATTTGGTGAGGGTCTTTGGGCCCAATCCTTTGCTGGAGATTGGATCCAAAGAAGATACTTGTACTGTGATCAGCTATCCATTCCCTCAGCCCTGTCAGCATTCCGGACTATGGCAGCAATTTACAGTGATGGCCTTGGCTCGGTCTCCTCGCTGCCTAAGTGTTATTGTGTTTAGGCCATCATTTATAGCTTGCATCCTTTTACGGCTGTGAAAAAGTGTCCACATGTAAACCCTGGCCAACTTACTAGTACAACTCTACATACGAGAAAGACCCTGGGGACAAGAGAGTTTAACAGCGTCGGAAGTCCATGTTAAGCTATCTTCAGCCTTGAATACGTTCATAAAATGATAATTAGAAGAGCTGTAAAGATCTGTAGCTTTGGGATAACCAGTGGAGGTCTAGTGGTGAATTCCGAGAGAACAGTAGATACCGGTACTGCCAATCACGTCGTCCAAGCAAAACCAAGCAAAACCGCTGTAAAGATCTGGCTCTTGGAAACACCCAGTGATTGGTGAGTGACGAAGGAAGATACCTACCAGCGTAACACATTGTGTACTGGTTCCTCGGCAGAATGATGTGACAACTTGCCGAGAATTCACAGGGAAGCACTGGAGCTGGCTGTGGAAGATCCTTGGCTGGCTACCCATGTGTGGCCACTGGTAGCTACCCGCTGGTTACCTCTTCCGTAGCTACAGGCTGCCATGAACCTGCAGCGGAGTTGAGTCAGTATAGTTGTAGAAAGCAGTCCAGCTTTTGACAGCCTTTTTCCTGCGTCTTAAGCTGTCTTATCACCACCCTCAACGACGCATCCAGCAAGCAAAGGTGTGCCTCTAGCTAGAGACGGAGAAGGTAGGCAGGGGATTGAGGAGCCAAGGAAGTCAGGTGATGCTAGAAAGCCAGCCAAGAAGAATGTTCTTTTGTTAACACCAGATGCCATTCTTCCACAGTTAGATGTTTTACATCGTGCCGTACTGTACCGGTGGGCTAGCTAGGATCCAGAGCCTAGAGCAATGCATGGCAGCAGCTGGCTACGATATTGACCTAACGACTGAATCATTCTAGTAGAACAGAATGGAACCGGAACAAACTGGTTCCCTTCTGGCTCATAGCGTTCTTCTAAAAGCAGGTTTTCACACGTTGGTCGAACGCAGCCACTCCACGGCGAGCTAGCTACCAGGTATTCAGCAAACTTACAGATGCTGAGCAACTCGCTCTGCTTTCCATGCTCCTTGATGATTCAGGGCTTGAAGTGATACCTTCTTTGTCTACGTTCTGGTATTGAGCGAAAGCCCAATGTGTGTCCAGGGACGTCTGCCCCCGACTCGGCAAGTTACGATTGCTGCAGGTAGAAGCTAGCTGGAATACAACATTGGCAACGGATCCGTGGCGACTCCTGGCCAAGCTATATGGCTGGTACTTGCTGAGGATGGGTTTACGCTCATTAGCCAACCACCTCGAGTCCATCTAACTTTGGAGCAGAGATGATCTGATTCGATTCGATTCGTACAAACACCCGGCCGGCTATTACGAGGGAATGTATTCCAAGTCATATTCGAACACTGAAGGGGTGCAGACACCACTGCACTCTGAGACATGAGCAAGCCTAATGCCTGCTGGATCGACAAAGGCGACGGCTTCGTACTTTCTTTCATCCTCCAACCCAATCGCAAGAGTGGCCACAAAGTTGCAAGGTTGCCCACTAAGGGCCTCTCGTACCGATTGATTGCTAGCACGAGGGAAGAAGTATACCGAACCTCCAGACCCAGGAGCACCTTCCAGGTTGAAGGCGATGAGTTGGCCATCGCGACGCATATCGGCACCCGTCCAGACCCCAAACCACCCATCGCGACAAGATCTGGAGATTTGCACATTCACGTTCTCGGCAATAATCGGAACATCGACCACACCAACCACGCGAGCCATACTGAAATTCGACAAGAGTTCGCCAGCGCCCAGATCCCTATGAACGCTGACTGGTATCTTGCCAACTCCACCGCTGCACCCGCCTTTTGTCGATACGTATATATCCCCTTGGTTTTCGTCATTGTTGTTGTTTCCTTCCACAACACCCGTCCAGTCGACAAACAAAGCTTCCGCATCATAATACCTGCCTTCGGACTGGTCAAACCCGTTGCCATAACGAAACTCAATGGTAGCAAACTGCACGATTTGATCCATGGGTCCATCGCTCCCAATGAGGGGTTCCACAAACTTGTAAATGTACAGGTTCTCCCGTTGTGGCTTTGGAGGGCGATTATTGTTGCCAATGTTGCCAATGTAAATGCAAGTCTGGTCTGTGGTATAAGAAGTTGTATTGATATCCGTGCAAGGTCCCAGTGAGATATCTTCCCAGTCATCATTCAAGGGTTCCTCGGTGAAGAGGGTATAGGCGGCCACGCCAAACCCCTGACCGTTGATGGGATTGCCATTGATGGTGTTGGCCGTGAACCGAATGACCTTGAGACTGTATTGTTCCTTGTCCGAAACCATGTACGCATAGCGGAGCCCATTGCTATCCACTTGCTCGCTGTAGGCAATCGAACTGATCTCAAAGAGGTCGTCTTCGACAGCATCATTTGGATTGTCGTCTGCGTAGGGCCCCATCTCAAATTTCTCTGGAATGAATGATCGATCGAGGGGGCAATTCACCTCCACTGCTCTCGTCGGAGTGTTGGTTGGATTCCGTAATGGCATGGACGTTGGTGGAGTTGTGCTGGGTGATTCGGTGGGTACGATTTCCAGTCCTTGAAATCGTATTTCGTCCAGAAATACAAAGTCATTGCTGCTCGATGCTTCACAACGAAATCGAATGTTGGCCGCATCCGTGAGCTCGTACATTGCTTCATCCATTCTATGGCTAAAGGTGATGATACTCAATGAAGACCTGTCACTGTTGGAAAAGTCGATGCCCGCCACGTAGCGTTTGACTACCTGCCAAGATCCACTCTGGGTGGGAAGGTACTCTAGAAGGAACGATTCCCCATCTTCCATGTCTTGCGCATGATACGAGAAACTCACTCGCAAGTCTTGAAAAGCGGCCACATTGTAGGGTGTGCTCAAAAACACGGACGATCGGTTGCCAGAATTGTTTTGAATTCTCAGTGCTTGGGCATCCCACGTGGCGTCGCCGTCGCTATCTGCCACCGTTGCAAAGTTGCCCCAGCCGTCTTGAAAGTCATCATAGGTAATGGTCGTCCACACCAACGATACAGCGGTGGACACTCTCAACAATAATATCCAAAGAAAAGTATACCCAACGCAAGTGCGCAAAGATACCTGCACCAGTTTCATCGAGTCCTCTTGATGAGCTCCTCCTCAACCAGCCAATGCTTGATCAATCAGGCATATTATGGTCCAAGTCGAAGGATTGCACAACAACAACAACAAATGATCCCGTGCCGTGCAAGCTCACATCTGCCATGGCCGAAATTTGGATAAGCCATGGTCGTTGTGGTGTGTGTGCACATGTGCAGTTCGTACCGGTACGACTGCAGTCTGTATTTAGAGACCGTCTTCTGAACGGCACCCACGATCTCGTAAACTTTCCCTCCAAGCGCACTCCCGCACCAAGATCCTTGGTGGCAAGATATCTTTTAAAGCCAGCCAATTGGTTACCGTAGCTGACCAAAGCTTTGAAACAGAGGGACAAGGAGAGAGGGGAGCTCGGCCAGAACCTCACCACTATTAATAACGCCAATTAGATTCCTGGTACCGTTCTGATGGTTCCAAACCTCCTTGTGGACCAGCATACTGTAGAGCAACTTGGTTTGGTGTTGAAAGGTTGTCTGGGTCATGCTGGGGGCTGATCTGCTGGTGATGGTTGTCCATTATTGCTACTAGCATAAGATTGCTTGCTTTCCCTGTCAAAACTGTCTGACGTAAGCAACAACCACCTGATGCAAAGAACAACCAGCAGTTGAATCTGCCATGTTCTGAAGAGTCAGTCCTTTGGTGGACAGTGGCTTCACAGCGAGCTTTTGAGAGGTGACCATCAACTACAGGTATCGCTATACAGCAGCCTAACTTCCTTGGAGACATAGTTTTAATAGTAACAGAGGTGGACGGTGCAAATTGCCTGGCTAGCTAAGGTAGTTCCTTTCAAACTCAGAGTAAGTCTCATTTTTCATTTCCAATAGAGCATCCAAGCAAGCAGTCACAAACAAGCGAAAAAAGCATTGGCACTGGTGACCAGCGCTTTGTCTTGGTGTCAAACAACTGCACGGTGTTGAATACCTTGCAGTCGTCGTCATTCGTTTCGTTTGCTTCTATCAATTGTGACATCTATCTCTCTACCCACTTTTCTTTTGCAAATAGGTTTCAATTTGATGGACAATCTGTTGGCGTTCTTGGGTGGATGCTGCCCGCCCCTTGCCTTGCTTCTTCTTGGAATGGATCAACATCTCCTCGGATCCCAGCAAGACATCAAAATTTCCAGTAAACTCACTATCTTCGTCACCTTCCACTTGAATCTTGTTGGCAAAGCTCTGCTTGGAAAGGAACTTGTGAAGCTCGTAAAAGGCGTCTCCGTACCCTACAGCAGAGACGCGTCAATTTGAGTGGAACCATGTGCCTTGAAGCTTTCATCGATTTCAATAGCATTCAGCGTTTCTCCATCAAGCCATCCTTACGTACGCACCTCATCCAGAGCAGTATCGAACCTTTACCAAGACCTTGAGGGTCTCATCAAGAGACGCAGAATCAGTGGTCATGTTGCGTTTGTTGCTTCTTCGTTTGTGTCATACATGTTCATTGCTGCAGCTTTGCCATGCTTCAGTTTTAACCCTTTTGACGTAAACGGGTTAAGATCGGAAACTGCAGAACAGGAGCTCACTGGAACATCCACTTCGTACTCCTACCTCCCACCTACCAGTACGGCAGTAGGTCCCACGCCCACAGGAAATCTGACCGTGCCAGTTCTCACACTTCTGAAGTCCACGAGAGAAAATCATTCTCATCTTCTCATCTTTTCTTGGGTAGCAATCTTCCATTATTTTCACAACACAGAGCATACAGGACAATAAATCAGACGATGACAAATATTATAGACGGCAGATCCATTGACATTGTCCCTCATCTACGGGTCACCTTGTTTATGACAGGGTCCTTTTGTGTCGCGTGGGCCTGGTGTTTGGTGGCGTACGGTGTGTCCCACGCTTGGAATGGAGAGAATCCCATGCAGAATGAAATTGGGTTTGGGGATGAACGAGCTCCCAAGTACCTTCCTGTGCTCTTATTGGAGTATCTTTTTGTCTGCGGATGTGCATCCTGGTTGTCTTACATTGTCAGACAACGGTATAGTCGACACTCTTGGTGTGAAGCTGCCATCAAGGCGGTAGAGTTTTTTCCGGCTCCGTTCTTTTCCGGCAAGCTAATGGCGTATCTGGGTCAATTCTCGGATCTTTCGGATCTCCATCAAGTACTCATCAATTTCTTGGCGGCGGCCTTTGCCGCCTTTTTGGCTCACGCGGCTCAAGATCCGTCTCTATGGACCAGCCAAGTCGAAGTTCCACCCGAGTGTACTCGATTTCGACCCATTCTGGCGGATACGTTGGGTTTTGGACTGGGTGTGGGCTGGAATGTCTTTTTAATGAAATTGTTGGCACCTGAAGAAATGGATGCCGAACACATTGTTGGACTCTTTGGATATCTCATGGTGGTTTCCATGATCGCCTTCCGATTGGCAGCCGAGGTGGATCCCACCGTTCAAGAACCCACAATGTTGCAAAGGACCTTGTCCATGCTCTCATTTGCTGCCAATGTGGTGAGTGCATTTACCATGGTAGCCTTTGTCAGTGCCTTGCTCCTTCCTGGGTGGATTGGCGATAGTGTCTGCCTGGTGGTTCTGATTTTGCTGGCAACCATTCTCTCCGCCCTGGTTGCAGCCGTGGACATGGATGCAGCCACAACCAGATTACAACAACAAATGGAACAAGGAGAGGCACGGCCAAAAATTGGATTTGGTACTTGCCCCGCCATGGATGCGCTCATTTTTTGTCCATGTGTCTGGTGCTGTTGTCCTTGGATTCCTCTTGTTTGGTTATTGGCAGGTATCACCCCGGGCGTGCACGTTAAGGAACGGTGGCAGGAACTCATCGCGTTTGTCTTGGGGTTGGCAACCAGTATCCAGGCTTCTGGAATGCTTACCACTGCCACGAACGAATTGGCAACCATGCTGAACATATGTGGAACCAAATATTGCGATCATCATTGGATTTTCGTTGTCCTGCAAGTCATGTTGGCTATTACTACAACATGCTTGCTGCTCCCCGCACTGGCCTTCGTGTCGGATCCCGTTGATTCTCCGTCGCCACAAGACGCAGGAGCCCAACAGGAAGCGCAAGCAAGAGGAGAAAGACGCCCCCTCTTGAGCAAAGTCAAGAAACTACTGCCCAAATTCTCAAAAAGAAAGTCTTCAACGGTTTCCGAGCAACGCTAGCTGGCGCAAAAGTGTGGCCGACAACGATCGACAACAAAAACGAGACGAATGTTTCTCTATGCGTCTATCCAACCTACTAGTGGAGCACAAAACCAGCTCGCCAATCGGGGACCCTACCGTTTGTACCCTCCTGTATGCTCACTGCCTCCGTGCACCTACCGGTAGCCAACCATCTGTGAAGAATTTTTGTGTGGTGGTCTGTTCACCAAGTATCTTCTTATTCATATACTATAATCCATACAGGCATAGGTCAAAGTTTTCTACTGCACTGAGAATCATTTTGGGCTGACCTTGTTGCGACTTTGCCACATCAGACTAGAAGGAGTACCGTATCGGCTTGTTGCTGCCCATTTACAACGATAGTTTTTGTCGAAGCGTTGAAGCATGGTGAGCAACGGTGGGCGAAACAATCGAGTCGATTGATTCGTCTAGCCATGTCTTCAGCCGCAAGCTGGGCAGATTGGTTTGGCAATTCAGAGAGCCACTAGCTAGACTCAGGTTGATTCCATTCGATTCTCCTAAATGTCGGATGTGTCATTGGTTGCTGCATTCTGAGAGCAGATAGATGCAGGCGAAATGTGGAGTTGCCGCTGGGTCTACTTTTGTCACTGATGAGGCTCAGGTCAACTCGATTCTCCTGACTCTTGAACAGATCCATTGATGTTTTCTGCGTCTTGAGATGGAGTTTTCTGTCGTTGTTCTTCTTGCTCCTGCTGTTGATCCAAGTACAATCTTGTTTGCAATGTGAGTCGGATCATGTAGACTTGATCCACCGTGGGAGATATTTGGTAGCTTCCTTGAAAAAGGTTCCCAAGTCGTAACAGACAATGGCCAAGGCCGAGAACGTCCCGACCAACATGGTCCATAGTATCTGTAATTGAATGGCATTCAGGAATACCAGCAACACTTGATTGGACTCGAGTAGAAAGGCAATGCAAATAGAAATGGCCAGAACCACCACAATGACGTAATGAAGCGGTGGAAATGTTGATTGGATTCTCCTACATGTCAGATGTGTCATGGGTTTCGGGATTCTGAGAGCAGATAGATGCAGGCAAACGTGGAGTCGCCATTGGGTCTACTTTCGTCACTGATGAGGCTCAGGTTGATTGGATTCTCCTGGCTCTTCAGCAGATCCATTGATGTTTTCTGCATCGTCTTGAGATGGAGTTTTCTGTCGTTGTTCTTCTTGCTCCTGCTGTTGATCCAAATACAAGCTTGTTTGCAAAGTGAGTCGGATCGTGTAGAGTTGATCCACCGCGGGAGATATTTGGTAGCTTCCTTGAAAAGGGTTTCCCAGGTCGTAACAGACAATGGCCAAGGCCGAGAACGTCCCGACCAACATGGTCCACAGTATCCGTAATTGAACGGCATTCAGGAATACCAACAACGCTTGATTGGACTCGAGTAGAAAGGCAATGCAAATGGAAACGGCAAGAACCGCCACGACAAAATAGTGCAACGGTGGAAATTGGCTTCTTAATGCCGTTATCCGCTTGGCTCTTTCATCGAAGAGTTTTCCACAGACTGTAAAGCAATTTGCCAGGACCAACCCGGGTACCTTTGGGGAATTGGTGGTTGTCGCATCTGGTGGATCGGTGGCAGTGTTGGCAGATATTCGATTGATTTGATCCATAAGGGCATTGAGCTCGGTATCCATGGAAAACTCTAGGGATTCGAGAGGTACCTTTGGTTGGCTCTCGGCGATCAAGCGAGAGGTGTATTGAGCCAGATAGCGGCGACACACCATTCTCGTTTCCAGTGTTGGAAAGACCTGTAGGAGCGATTGTAGTATACGCAACTGTCCTGCTTCCATATTAAGTGCGGTCCGAATGTCCCTCTGCCTCTTCATCAGGGTCGAGTATGTGGTAGATATCTGGGTCGCAAATAGGATGGATATAGCCGGAACCACAACTCCATCGATTGACGGAGCAATAATTTTGGCTTGATAGGCACCACCATCCACAGCGACCCACTTGTTATTGGCCAAGACCTCCAAGAACAGGCGAAACACGTAGGCCGTATCGTCGTACAAGACGTATGCCAAGACGGGGACCACAAGGGGGGTCCACCACAGCACAAAACCTTCCCAATCATCATATGGAAGAGATGACTTTTGTAGAAATCCATTATTGCTGGGCTCTTGTCCCGGTTGGGCATTGCCTAATAGAGACTCCGTGTCTTGGGGGAACATACTGTCATCTGCAAAGTACTGGGATTCTTCAACGACAAGAGAATTCAAACTGAGAGAAGAAGAGAGACTTTCACTGCCTTCTTCTTGTTCCTTTTCGGTTGCCTTCACAAAAAAGGGAGGCTTGGGCACCCCTACAACTCTAGGTGAACGACCTTTTGGGGGTACAAGGAAGGCGCAGTCAGCCAATTTCCAAACAGGGAGGGACACACAAAGCCACATGCTTCTCCTGAGGCGGCGTGAATGCAGTACTCGTATCATCTTGGTTGCAAAACTCCATCGAGGAGATGAAGCCTCGATGCAACAGTTTGTCTTTTGTCTTTGTCTCAAACGATTTTGCGGACGGAAGTTGAATGGTACCGGTAAGAAAAAGATATTGACCAGATTGATTCGATTGATTCCATTATTTTTATCACATGACGTCACCTTTGTCGCACCTTCTTCGCAGGTCTCAAGCTCGGCTTGACCGTTGCGAACCGACTGCTCATTTATGCCGCCATGCTGCACTGCCAACAACCAACAACAACACGTGCGACAACCACCGTCGCTGCCCACTGTCTATTGATCTTACTATCCCCATAGGTATACCAGGTAGTACAGATGTTGTACAGATCCTGTCATAGAAGCTTAGATTCGAGAGACAATGTCGTCGGATGAAAAAGGCGGCTCTCTGTCTTCTCAAGAAGGTCAGGAGGATGAAGTGGCAATGGAAGAAGCACGGGAAGTGACAGTCATTCCCGTTGTGGACAATCCCAGTGAAATTAGTGAGAATCACTGTCCTGTAGCCGTTGGAATTGGGATTCCGGACAGTGGATTGGCAACTGAAAGGGATAATCAAATAGAGAGCTCGAATGAAGGCCTTGAATATACTGACAGCTGGGCTCCCAATGTGGCGAATGCAAGCCAACCAGATCACCCCAGAACCAACACAACGGAACAAGAAACAGGAGGTCCTGATGCAGTCATCAGGGCCAGGAGAGAGGGAGAAAGCGGCCCTCAGTCTTCTCAAGAAGGGCTGGAGGATGAAGCAGCAATCGAAGAAGCACAGGAAGTGACAGCCCTCAGGGACAATCCCAACGAAATTGATGAGCATCACCGCCCTGTAGCCGTTGGAATTGGGATTCCGGAGAGTGGATTGGCAACTGAAAGGGATAATCAAATAGAGAGCTTGAATGAAGGCAATGAAAACACTGACAACCAGGAGCATGCTGTTGCCAATGCAAGCCAAACAAATCTCTACAGAACAAACAATACTGAACAACAAACAGGAGCGACTGATTCAGTCACCAAAGTCACCAGAGACGCGGCATTGACATTGGCATTGCACGAGTCCTTTGGTGTTCATTGGGAGAAATCCCCGCGAATTACCGGACAGGATCATGCCATCGAGGATCAGTCGGACCCAACAGAAGCCCAAGATGATGTTGCAATTCCTATGATACCCATGATGGGAAACGAGGGTGAGCCTGGAGTAGACCGTACTGCCACAAGAACAACGACCAACGGCCATCAACGGCCGGGTGCAGAGTGGGTGGTCGGGATAGATGGAGACGTTGGGGAGAATTCCACTTCGTCGTCATCGGCCAGCTATACCCGCACGAACACGATTGTCAGTGCCACTCTCGTGGATTCCACGTATGTGGATGAGCAAGTCAAGGAGAGAATACGACAAGAATTACTTGCTAATGCCGTACAAGCCCAAGTCGAACATACCAGCAACATAAATATTGGTGCCGTTGACCAACAGCCGGGGAGGTTCGGTCGGCGGGCAATGATTCTGTATTCGGGCTTGTCCTTGTTGGTGGTCATTGCGCTGATAGCCACGATAGTTGGCTTTCTAGTGTCCAGGGACGAGGGACAATCCGTATCTCTCTGCGACAAGTGGACTTTGAGTGGATCTCCTATACTCATGACACATGCGAGCACCCAATACTTTACATGGGCAACGGCGATCGATGCTGGAAAGTTTATCCTTCCAGACGCATGCCATATCCAGACTGGGGGTCGTCTGATGGTCGTCAAGACTCTCGGCACTGGTAGTCCTTTGACAGTATCAACCTGCAAAGAGGCCACAAACTTTCCGGCTCGACTGGAGGTCCTGGAAGGAGCCTGCACTGATGCGCAGTGCAAAGAAGCAGTGAACAATACTCTGTGCCCGGGACGTATGCATAGCGACAAGGTTACCTTTGATTCTGTTTACGGGCAGGAATATTTTTTTGTGGTCAGTGGCTTCACCTCGAATGACGACGTTGTGGGTATGTCCATCCGTGCCAAACACGACACTTGCGAAACCGCACAAGGGCCAATCATACCCGATACGAACTTTGTTCACAGGAGCGTGATTGATTCGAATTCAAAGTGGTGCAACCAATCGTGCTGGTACGGAGCAGGGCAACTGTTTGGTCCTGGAGCTTGGTATAAGCTCCTAGCCACAGGAGCCACCATCACTGCCACAGTATCCTGCGATCCAGCGAGTGTTGCCGATCTTATGTTGACGAATTTCACCGGTCTCAGTCTTACCGTGTTGGAAGGAGGATGCGACTCGAGCGCGTGTGTGGACGCCGCGATTCGACCTTGTCAGTTTGACACAGCTGTGTCTTTCAAATCAAGACCAGATCAAGAATATTGGCTTCTGGTACGAGCTCGTTCTTCCAAGAGAGCTCTGGCAGAAGGCGTTAGGTTCAATTTATCTGTGGCGTCTGCCGGTGGTCAAACTAATGATCGCTGTGGAACAGCACAACCAATACCATTCGTTGGTGGCGAAGACAATCGCAGCAAGCCCTACTTTGTGCAAGGATCCACAATCGAAGCGGACTCTTATTCTAGCACTGACGTAAAATTGCCGCAGTGTGGTGAAATTCCCAACAACCACGAGTCTGGTGGTGTGTGGTTTTCTGTCCAGGGCACTGGGAAAGGAATTCGGGCTTCCACATGTCACACCTGGTGGTTGCCAGCCGAAGGAAGACTGCCGTTTGTGCCGCTGGAGATAAGCGCCCGTGTGTTCACGACAAGAGTGTCGGTCTATGAGGGATACTGTCAAGGTAGTGCAGACGAGGGGGGCCTCCGGTGTGTTGAAAACACTCATGTGGAATTCTGTGAAGTCCTCCCTCACAGCCTGGGGAAAGTGACTTGGCAATCAAAAGAAAATTCCACCTATTACATTTACGTTCAAAGCCTGTTTCAAGAAGATGAACGTTTCAACTACACTGCCACAGAAGGACACTTTGTGCTAAGTCTGGAAGATGCACCACTGCCACCGACGTTGTGCGACATTGAGGTTGACTTGAAATGCATCTCTGGCTGTCAGTACGGTGAGGTTCCATCTTGTCAAGAGCAACCAAAGCAAATTGAGTTTACCAACGTTGGTGGTAAATGCGGCAACTACAACAATCAACCCCAGTACTACTGTGAGGATTTTGGAGAAGGGCCGCCTGCTTTGAATACGTCGGAAGGATTCGGCCATTTGCTTGTGTCATATTTCACGGATGGGCATGCTGCGAATGCATCATTCATAGTCGTGACAAACAGACTGAACAAAGGTGATATTTACTTTCAAGATTGGGTTGAGCTGGGTGGCGATATGTTGCTTTATGGCAAAGGTGATGAAATCGAGTTCAGCCGGTACTTGAACTTCTCGCTGTACTCATCCAATGAAACGTCCGCGGACGCACTGATGCAAGTCGTGACCTTTGATACTGATTGTGATTTCGGCCTTGATGACTCAAGGCATGGCAGCATCAAGCTTTCATCTTTCACCAACACGAAGCAGGGCGAAGTCGTCCTTCAAAGTGGTGCCCCGGATCTCAATATCTTTTACACAGTTTGGGATGCAGCTGTGCAAGCTCCGTTGGGATCCCATGGGTTGATCATGAAACACTGGGATTTTGAATTGATACTGGGCGGCTTTGGTTTTGTGCGGGTAAGAAAGAAATGGCTTCTCCGATTACCACTACGTTCGTCGTGTCGAAGCCCTCACACTTGATCCTCCATTGACAGTATCCCTGGGACGAGCCGACAAACACCTCGTTGATCCCTGGTTACAGACCCAAAAAGTGGACGATCAACTCGTTCACTGACTTTTTGCACCCCAGCATCATCACAATGTTTGGCAAGCCTCGTGTAGATTCTGATGAAACGTGTCAACTGCAAGTTCTTTCTATGCTTTGAGTTCTTTAGAAGGTACATGCATCTTCATGCTCTCAGTGACGTGCAAACTTAGTTGGCGATCGATCTGCTACATGTATAGTGATGATGGATGAACTGCGATTTCGAATGGAAGACAAAAAGGTGCGCCATGTGGAAGGTGTTTTCCTTTGCCACGCGTGTCAACTTGTACCGGTCCACTGACAAGTGCAATGCAATGCATGAGTGACAGTGTATTCCATTCGATTCCTGTCTGAACCAAAAGTCTGACGTAGGGCCTGATCAAACACAACAAGTATCCACCAGCTTATCAGCTTATCCGCCCTTTTTGTTCCAAGTGGGACCATACCGGTATGCTTCTCAGCGGTCTGCCGATCAGGCGTAGCTACTAGCTCGAAGCTGTGGTTTCAACCCCTTGATCCTACCGGTACAGGTACCTATGTTGGCTAATCGTTCAATCTCCGATCACAGGTACTAGTACTCATACCGTACAATAGCTGTCTGCTGTTCTTGCAGCAAACGCAGCTATCCTCTGCAGATTGTACCGGTACCGTATCCAGATACCGGCAAGGTGTTTCTACATGTAGTACCGGTATGGAAAGAGAGCAGTGAACCAGCATCCAAGCTTTCGTGGTCCCCAGTTCCCAGCACAGTATCATGGTCCTATGCAAGGACACCCGCTTGTTGAAGTGATCCCATGGAGCTGCCCTGAGTTTCACCCTCTCTTTCTCTTATTAAGATTGGCCCCCTGTTGGCTTTGATACTATCTCATACCATAACCAATCCACTTCTCTCTCCCAGGTAGAGTTCATCAGATTAGATACTGATTCTGTTGTTGTAGCTTTCTCGTGTTTTGTGAGACGGCCAATGCCAACTAGCCAAGGGCCGAGAGTAGCACCGGTACCGGTATCCCCATTCCCCCCGAGAGAGACGTTTGAGATGCCACCATTTTCGAATTTTGAATCATGTGCGAATGGAAACGGGACACGGGAGGATCCATTTTTTGCATGGTTATTACCGGCCAAGGACAAAACACCAAAATCAGCCAACATAGTCTAGATAACAAACACAACAACCATGGTGGATAGTAGCGCCAAGAACAATAATAATGACAGCGCCAACACTCCAGAGAACCTGGTGACAGTTTGTCCAGATGGCCACAGCTGCGAGAATGGTTCCCTGTGTGTTGAGAACTCATCGAAGGAAGGTCAATACTTGTGCAATTGTTTCGAGGGTGAACTGATTGGTTTCAAAGTCTTCACCGGACTCTATTGCCAACATGAAGCCACCATGTTTTGTACACGGATGGGAGAGCTCTCTACCGTAGGATATTGTGCCAATGGAGGAACGTGTATGGGCTTATTGGAGGACAACGATGGCAACCACGTCGGATGTGAATGTCCCAAGGGGTATACGGGGCAGGTAAGTTTTAAGTTGAATCGATGACAAAGGATGGATGGATGGATGCATTGTATGGTTACTTTTCCATCAATACTAACTAGCATGTTATTGTTTTGCTTTGCAGCACTGCGAATTCGTCGAAGGCTCCCAACCCACCGAAGGTTATTATCCACTCGACAAAAACTCCAACCTCCAGCTTGTTGCCAGGAACGAAACCAAGGAACTGGGTGCCGCCGGAATTGCCATTACAGTGCTTGGTGTGGTGGTGGCACTTGGTATGATTGGAACTGCCTTGCTTGTCCTTCAGAGGCGTTGGCGTCTACATGCCGAAACACACACCATTGAACCGACCAAATCGTCCGATGGACAGTTGGAGGATGCCGATGGAGCCAACTTGGCAGTCCCCACACAATCATTTGAGTCCGACCAGAGTGAACTGCAGCCCAGTGAAAGTGCTGAAATGGCATAATAGACGACACAAAAAGAGAAAGAAAGCTAGAAAGTCCACGTTGGGCAGCAATTTACGCCTTGCATGCATGCTACCGATACCTCCTGGTGATGATGAGACGATAGTATTGAATCGAATTTCACTGCAGAGTGGCAGTCATAGTGAATTGCATTGTGAGCTGTGAGCACAAGTATGATATATACAGAGCAGAAAAGGAGCACAACTTTTGCAGGTGGGTACTGACAACGAACAAGGAAGCTTGCACTCTTGTCTATTTTAATTAAGACACTTGGAGCACTCTCATAGCTCATTTGTAAGCGCCTTTACAAGGTTTTAAAACTCTTTTCTTCTACATTATGCAATAGAATTGTAACAATTCCAATTATCCTACAATTCTCACCATCACTGTGCCTTTTTGTCTAGCTGGCTAGAAACATTTGAATCTCTTGTTGCATCCTTTGGTAGTTGGCCACCATCATATATCATGATGATGAATTGGTTGGCCATGGAAGCTGGTTGTCACATAATACCTTGCATTGTCTGTCGCCGGGTACAAAGAAAATGGATGCATTAATCTTTGACAACGAACTCTTTGAGCTGTGAGACCCAGGGACATGGCATTGGACATCCACCGGAAGAGGTTTGAAGTTCCAAGAGAGTGCAGTCTCTCTGGAATGTTGGTGGTAGATTACCAGCTCTGCCAGTTTAACCTTTTAAATGTGTCACGCCGAACTTTCAGTTGTAACGGCCACGTTATTTGATGCCAACAGGCAATCTTGCATCTGAACCGCTCACATTTCGTTCGATTTTCACGTGAACGATGTTTCCCTCCACCCTCCACTCCAAGACCTCGTTGTCGTCATGGACAAAAATCCCATCACTGTTTGCGATCTGTCTGACACGAAATGAAGATCTCCATCTTGCTCAAATTAGTGACTGTTGGAATCGCTGCATCTGTGTCGGCGGCCCAGACGCTTCAGCTAAGTCGACTCTGCTTCGAAATCGGGCAGGAGATTGCCATCATATTCCAAAATGGGAGGAACCCAAGCAGCACAGACTGGATTGGCTTGTACCCTCACGACGATATCAATCCCACCGAAGAACCTCTCATCTGGGTGAGTATACACGGTGTCTTGCTGATTTTGTTGGGACGTCAGGGGGCCCTTTGTGCTCGCTGCTGCCTCGTTCGTTTGCAATGTTTGGGTGAGTATGGTGCTTGAAGCCAGAGGAACACGCTTCTCATCCTTCTTTCCTTGATTGAATTTCTTTCTCTGCGGTTGACTGACACACACAGTACTGGACTTGTGGTAACCAGGACTGTGATGTTGCCATGGCTCGAGGAACGGTAATGTTTTCGCAGAACGACCCCATTGAAGGATGGCCGCTATCACCTGGAAGCTACCGGGCAGTTTTGGCCAAGGACGATCCAATGTTTTACAGATTCATTGACATTAGCGTTGCTTTCCGAGTGGTGAACAGTTTGCAAGAATGTCCCAACAATGGTTTACTACCGGAGCCAACAAGAGCGCCCGTTTCAATCTCACGCCAAACCGCGGTTCCTGTTTCTACAACAACCGTACCGGTACCTCCACTTGCTCCACAGCCGGCCAGCACTCTGCCTCCGAGCACAGCACCGACAACGAGAACAAGAATGAGCGAAATTATTGCATCGGCCAAAGCAGACATTATTGAATTGATCAATGAAAAACCCGTCCTTCGAGCATTGTATCTCCGAATGATTTTTCATGACTGCGTTGGGGGGACGGGATGCGACGGCTGTATCAATACTGAAAATCCCGATAACGGTGGGTTGGGGTCTAGCATGGGCAGCCTCCGAGAGATTGAGCGCCGATATGGACCTGACTTGTCCAGGGCGGACATCTGGGTGCTGGCTTCGTTTGTAGGTGAGTGCAAATGCCACGTTGCGGCTCGTATCAAACCGGAGGAATCTCAACGACAGATTCATATCCACTCATCCTGAAATGCATCTTGCGTAAGGGGTGGAACAAGCAATGCCCGCTGAAGGGGATGGAGAACGCATTGACTTGCCCTTTCATTTCTATGGACGGGAAGACTGCGATGATAGATTGGATCGGGGTCCAGATCCTCCCTTGTGCAGTCCCAACCTGGGCACCGATGAAGTATTGGAATACTTTGCTCGGCACTTCGATTTCGACGCTCGCGAAACTGGGGCAATAATGGGAGGTCATACTATGTAAGCACAGCTAGCTCCTCTGCCTTTCATCGTGGTGTAACTGTCGTCGCCGCTGACTGTGCACATCTGCGCATGCTCTCAGAGGGGTTGCTCGAAGGAACATTCTCGGTTTCGATGGTCCCTTTGGATGGGTACCGAACAATACTAGGTTCGACAATGAATGTAAGAGCAGTGGGGATGACACCAGATCGCGCTTTGCGGCCCTGAACTCACCACTATGCACGTTGGATCAGATTATCGAGAGCTGGTGGGAGAGGGACCCACTGATCGTTTTCAAGTTGAATGGGCTCCACAGTGGCGTCAGATTGAAATCAACAACACTGAACTCAACGGAACAGACGTGCCTAATCGATGGCAATGGGAAGGTTTCCCGAATGGTCGGAGAGTCGTCATGCTCAACTCAGACGTTGCTCTAGTCAGGCAGCTAGACAGTGCCAACATGGAGGAGTCCGGCTTTGTTTCTTGCAAATTTGTCTCCAGAGCGCCCGGGGAATCAGTCTGCCCGGCCTCCAGGAATATCATATTCAGCGAGATGGTGCGATATCGAAACAACAATACTGTGTTTCTCGAAGACTTCCGAGATGCCATGGTGAAAATGACGAACGTGGGCTATACTGTCGACGGGGGCAGCTGTGACGAGGATGGGATTTGTAGATTGGTGAGACGAGCGCAAGCAAACTCGACTGGGAGTGCTTGAAATTAGTGCGGTTGATCCATTAGCGTCTCCACAATCTGCCGCACCTTCTTCGTCGTCGGAAGTTTCAGTCCTTTTTGCGAGGTGCAGATTGTTGGGTTTCGGTGCGACCGGTCGCATCATCTCAAGGCAAGAAGTACATCTTCCGTTAGCCATGGCAACGTCCCCACCCTTGAACGATCCCCATAGTTCATCATGACTGAATCACTCTAGATAGTTTCATTCCTCTTTTAGGTACCAAGTTCACCAAAACGACCGCGATTGATTCCTAGCAGCAACAGGTGCCTACCGTAGCGAGATGGTCACTGCTACGAGAGAATAAAAGGACAGGGCCAAGTGACTTGAACAAATTACTCTGCATTCTATATGAGAACAATGGCACTAAACCGAATGAAGGCATGCTTTTCCGCCCCAGTGATGCGGGTTTTGATCTCGTACTGGCCATCCTTGTTTGGCTTCCACACATGGCCATCCTTATTTCTCAAGGCATAGCATGTGTGCATACCAGATGCTTCTGTTACCTTGACACCGTTGATTGTCATCTCCGCTTTCCCCTTCTTGGCAATTTCTTCCTCTGATGGTGGTTCTTCATCCTTTCGGGGTTGGGGTCGTTGCCAGCCAAAGTATGCATGCACATCACCTCCTGGGCACTTGCCCCAATCACACTAAGTGCACCAAAGAGAACAATGAGTAGTTCAGATGAGCTCACCACCCATGACCACTTTTAGTCATAACTCACAAGAACCAACTTACCCTTGTTAGGCATGCAAGAATCCACCCCTTGCTCTTGGCTGCATCAAACTCTTTGTAGTAATTCTTCTCAGATTTGTTTGGGAGCACCAAGGTTTGCCAGTCCGTCACACTACCAACATAAAAGTAGTCCTTGTAATCCAAGTTCACGTACTCTTCACATTGTTGTCTTCCATTATCTTCTCTCACCAGTCTCATCAGACCATTGTTCCTCTCAGGACGGGGATCCTCATAGGGTGCAGGCTCCTTACCTGAACGAAAACTGGGATTTTCAATTTGGAATACAGCACCCGAGGACGCCCCGTCCTCATAGCTTTGATCCATAATGGTGCCAACATTGGTGAAGTTCTCTGTCAGCAGACCCTTGAAACGAATTTCAGCTGGAAGGAGAGCTGAATGACAAAAACTAGGTTCCTTCAAGAAGGATTCAACAGAAATGTCTTTGAGATGTTCTTTTGCTGCTTCTGTCCAATAACGATCAACATGTGGCATGAGATCCGTGGGAATTGGGTTTGAAAAGATCCCTTCATAGTCTTTCTTCTCTTCTTTGTCCAAGGAGCTCAGTTTGTTGGATACGAGTTTTTTGGCAGCATCAATGTCATCACCTGTTGCATCCAACTCCATTTCAATCAGGCCTTGCAATGCATCCTCAACAAGATCAACAAAAGTCATGGCCATCAGATTGCCCATTAGTGCATGGTACTTTCACCCCACAAGCAAAATCCAAAGTGAGGACAACAGAAGCCCAGACATCTGCTTTCACACAAAAACAAGCGGTACGTACTTTCCAACCAGGGTGCCAGCTGGTCCTTGCCTTCCTATTGGGGCACAAGGAATTGTTGAATTTATTGTCCTTGCAGCCAGGATCCCCAGCTTCAATCTTCCCCTCACACTTCAAGTACTGTAGATACTTTGGGGCCTTTGCAATTTCGTCTTCATGCATGCCAAACATATCAGGTGCCACTGAAAGTATCGTTTCACGCATGTACACATCATTGTAGGCAAGAGATGTCATCCCCAGAGACAGCATGTTTTTGGCTACCAAGTTGACACCGACTTGCTGATGAATGGGAAAGAATGCGGGACGATAACCAACATTGCCTGGCTGAGATAGACCGTCTTTCACTCGCGAGATTCCCGCTGCCTTGTACGCATACATGGTGACCTTCCACAGATCATGTCCATCCGTCATGCCGTAGTCCCAACTGCACCAAACGAATTCCGAGATTGTTCGAGAGAAAGGGAGAGCGCGTTCGAGGGAAAGAAAGACAAGTGAGATGAGGACGAATAAAGATCTCAAGAACCACATTTCCTGGCTTGGGGCAATTGACACACCTGATAGCATCGACATCTCTTCCAAAGATGGAGTTCATACAGAGTGCAACTTCTTCTGCCGAATCTGTTCCACCCATGGCATAATTTCTTGCCTCAAAATCCAAGCCAATGCTGGCCAGAATGGGTGACAAAGCTCGATCCATATTTGCCGTGTAGCTCTCTCGGAATAAATTGCCATGACCAGCCGAAGCACTGTTTTTTTGACAAATAAAAATCCAAAGTGAGGGGTAAATTGAAGTCGTGAGGGGGATACTGCAAGTCAACGAAATTTCTGGGAGGGAAAAGCCAACAAGTAATGAACGAACTGACCTGTGCCCGCCTGTCGCCCAAGTGAATTTGGTATAGAGTCCACCGGACGCTTTGGCTTTTGCAAGGAATCGACGGCTGCCTTCCTCATTGTTCTTCTTGGAACAGTCATCGAGGCAAATGGGCTTGGCATTTTTCCGTTCTTCCAAAACACCCAACTGGACTTGCAGAATCTTCATTTGCATTTTGCGAACCATTCTACCCCATGCTGGTCCTTCCGAAGGCAAGTTTTCATTTTCGGGCCGCTTGGTGGAGGGCAAGATGGAGGGATCCTGAAAGATGCGCTGACGTCCGGCACTGTGTCGGATTTCTTCTTCTTTTTTGGTCTCATTATTAAAGACCTTTTCCAATGGCTCAAACATGTCCTTGTAGTACTTGGCTCCATAATCCTTCTTGAGGCCTTTTTCAACCCACTCTTTGCGGCTTTTCTGGAGTCGTTCCAACATGGTCGCCGGCTTGAGCAGAACATCCCCATCGAAATATTCCAGATCTTTAAAGGGAGCATTCTGACAGGTTTTCTCGCAATCAGCACCCAGCTTTCTCCGAGTGCTTCTGCTGCGTGCGCTTGGAGTAGTAGATTGTAGAGTCGAGCTGCCATGCTGTAGATCGCCCTTTGTGGCTATCAGCATCAAGCCACAAACAACCAGGGACACTGACAGCGTGACCACCAAAACTCGAGATGATGATCCTTGGGAATAAACCATCTTTGATACGGGTATAATGTTTGGACGCAGAAAAACAATAAAGGCGAATGCCAATACGAATCGAATCAGGGATCCCTCTCTCCAGGATAATAGAGCTGTCCGAGCTACAGTATTGTTTGTTCAGGTGTTGGGATGCCTCTCGCAGAAAAGGATTCGACGACCGAGATAAGGATGCTCAAGAGTCTCCTTCCAACGGCCAATGTCCCATGTTGTGGAGGGAGACATCGGTCTATCCCGCTTCTGAGGAGTTGATGGGGGAGTTGTGCGTCTTCCTCCTACCGTTACTGGTACCGGGACTGAAGTCTATTGTGATAAGCTGTACCCTGCTGTTTAGAAACAGGGGTCGAGAATCCACGATGATGGATCTAGTCTGCGTGATGCTAATCTAGCTAGTTAGCTAGTCTACCGGTACATGTACTGTAGCTAGCGAAGCTGCCACAGGGGGGCATCTTTTAAAGATCGTTCTGAAGTGGCCCGTGAAATGGATGTCACTGGGATGCTAATACCGTGGAAGTGGTGGTCCCTGCGATCCTGATACTTCCTCAATTGCTGCCTGTCATGAGCAGCGTATCTTGTTGCAATGAGCTACTACGGTATGAGTCGAGTCGAGTCCACATACATGTACTCAAGCTGTGGGCATTTGGATGTTCTTCAGTATGCTCATATACTGGTACAAGGCTGTCCACGGAGTGAAGATGGATCTGTTGCCCCCATTTGAGTTAGACAATTAGAACGCTCGTTTAACTTCACAATATGCTGCCCAAAGAAATGGCTCTGGCATGGCATGGGTTTGCAGTACCGTACTTATTATTCCAATCAACGATCATTCTAGCTCAAAGTTGCTTCACTCGGCAATGTTGCTCCTGTTTTTTATTGAATGGGTGGCTCATTGGTTGGTTGGCACAACCGTGCTTCCTATCCTGCGTCGGTGGCTCGTCACGGTACTTGAATGAATCATCCGTTCCAAAAATTGACAGCCGACAACTCGTTCTCCGGGAAGAACGTTGCGCCATACGGTACGTAGAAACAAAGCAACATTGAACACAAGGATGCATTCGGTCGCCAATGTACCGGTATGCGTGGAGAATCCAATTAGGCGGTTATCGTCGCATCTTGAATCGTCCACCAAACGTTGAGCTGTTTGGCGGATTCTTTCGCCGCGGCATCGAGTACATTGTTGACTAGAGCTGCATCATTGGGCCACGATACCGGATTATTTGGCCCCTGCCAGCCTCCAATTTTGAACACCTTGTATCCGGCTGCCGTAAAGTACTGAATCATGGGGATTTGTTTTTCTCGTTCGGGGGCATTTCGAACCGAAACTTCCATGAAAATGTTTCGTATCATATGAGATCGTAAGAGTTCCTTGGCGCCTTCAATGACGCTTGGTTCGAAACCTTCCACATCCACTTTCATGACGGCAATATGAGGACGACTGTCAAACCACCCTCGTTCTTTGGCAAAACCATCGAGCGTGACAATTTGAATGCTATTGGCAGCTCCGGCGGTCGCCTTGGTCTCCACGACGGCACCCTGTCCCGGATTGTTGTTTTCTTGAAACATGAATATTCCCTCTTCTTTTCCCACACCGTACGGGTAGAGATTGACTCGCGGTGGTGTAAAGCCCAGTTGCTGATCCACCACGGCATGAGGATGATTGAATTCGGTGTAGGTCCATCGGTTCATATTCAAGGATTCGCAAAAACGCATTCGATTTTTCAGGTTTGGCTCAAAGGAATCAATAAAGAAGGACCCCTGTGCCGCCGAAACCAGGGAGAAGAATCCAATGTTGGCTGGAGCAAAAAACAACCAGTGAGACAGGCATGAAAGAACGAGCATCCACAGAAAATCTTGACACAGCTTACTTACCTCCCACATCTAAAATACGAGATCCCGGTGGCGACGCCTTGAGGACTTCCACAAAGGCTTTGGTAAGCTCTCGTTCATAGTAGTGCCCATATTGCATGATACACCAGCGAGTCTTGTCAAACGTCTCTCGGTGTAGACTTATGTAAAAAGGGGGATCCGTCTCGGTTCTTCGAGCATGCATCATTCCATTGTTGGGATCCTTGGCTTTCATGGCGCTGCTGTTCTTCATGTCATGCAAAAGGCCCAAGCAGGAAAAAGGAGCGTATTTGCCAGGGTCCACCAGTGCTGGTTGTGCTGGTTGGAGAAATGACGACAAGGGCGATGAGCTTGTTGTGGATTCCGCCATTTCTCGGCTGCTACTGCTGCTGGTGGACATGGCAAGAGTCTCATTGACAACCTGTTGTATGGTTGCGTTGAAACCGGATTTGCCCATGAATTTCGATTGGGATGCCAGAGTGACCCCCGCCAACACCAAAAGCACCAGAATCGCAAGCTTCAAGACGGGGGACCCCGATCCCGGAGAGCTCCCCGCACTCTCTTCGTCGTCGCCTCCACCAGATCTGTGTCTACGCATACGAGCCATTGTCTTGTTGGAGTGTGATTGTAGTTGCTAAATACTGTAATAAGCTCGCTCGACAAAATAATACAGAGGATGCCGATCACATCCACAACGGCAGCAAAGGGTCTTGCTTCGTCTTTGTGCTTTCTCACTGGTCACTGATCTCTCGCCTCGCCATCTTGGTGCGTTGTGCGAAAATTCCAAGTAACCCTTAATCTTAATGACACAATGCTATCCATGACTGAACATCTCACTCGCAGTTTGTGGCAGCAAATTGGAGGACATTGGTTTCAAACTACTAGTACTCTAGCTAGCTAGTAGATGAACTGAGCATGGACAGCTCAATGGAATCGTTTCTTGGAATCAAGTTTGAGCCAATGGGCCATGGTGCTGCTTTCAACATGACCCAACCAGCACTGATTGAGAAGATCATCAAAGCAACTGGCATGGAAGGTTGCAACAGCAGTCGCACACCCATGGCTTCCCCCAACCAGCCTCTTGGAAAGGATCTGGAAGGAGCTGCAATGTGTGAAGAAGAATGGTCTTACCCCTCTGTCATTGGTATGTTGCTGTATTTGAGCACCAGCACTAGCTAGACCTGACATCTGCTATGCTGTCAGTCAGGTTGCTCGATTCACCCACAACCCAAAACAGAGCCATGCTACTGCTGTGAAAAGGATTGTGCGGTACATGTCCAAAATGAATGGAACCATCATTTGGCCCGAAGAAACCTTGAGCATTGGCTCCATGAGTGATACTGACGTTGCTGACCTGTACAAGGTTGATCCAGTTGACAATGAGATCCAATTGGTAGTTCAAGCTGCTCTCCAAATGGATTGGACATCCAGCCCAACAGTCTTCTGTGCCGCAACAGAAACTGACCAGGACATTGCTGAATGGATCTGGCTCCTACCCACTCTCCCACCACATCCACTGGAGAAGCGCATGATAAAAAGTTGCAGCTCCTCAACCATGACCACAGCAGTGGTTGAATAGCATTGGCAGCCAGCTCTCAGAGCCGGCAGTCATTAGTAATGCAGTGACTGGCACCACTATCCCAGATCAGCTGAAAACTCCCTGAGGACTTCATTGCTCCCCTCATCTGGTGTGGGGAGACCATTGACAGCCCAGTGGAGGGGGATCTCCATCAAACAGAGAACTCCCAACCTGGCGCTGGCCAATTCCTTAGCTGAGAGCCTTCTCTAGGCCAGCCAAGGCTCCCTACTGCCTGCAGCCAGCCGAGACCTGAGGAAAAACAACAGAATCTAAGCTTCGTTCATTTCCAGCTACATTAAAGCCACCCCACAGCCATACTGTATGTTGTAAATCTAACAAGTAATTAATCCCTGCCATGTAAAAACAGCACACTATGGAATCATTTTTCTTTTACACTCTAGCTAGTAGGTACCATAGCTATATAACCTGTAAGATAATGGCAAGCATAGTGACTCTCCCCTGGATTGAATAAAATGATTCAATCCAAATAATTGGCAAGCTTGTCCTTGTCCCAGCAACATGGTTGACCGTCCTTGCACAAGCAGAGCAATGCTGGACTGGCTACGGTATCTCATACTCTTTCTTTCCAGAGATTGGAATTGAATCACTTGTGAGGAAGAAATCGATCACTACACAAGTGCGACATGTAAGAGATAGCTAGTTTGAGAATAAAATCCATGGTTACAGTAACTTTTGACTCTTTATTGAGCCATCTACTTGACATGAGACCGTCCTGTTTCATCCTTTAGACGTTGGATATCACGGCCTGTGGTGCTTTGCAGGGCACTCATTTGTTTTTGGATTTTCTGCAACTGCAGCAACAACTCCTTGTGTTGGTTTTGATTATGAATGGTTTGACCTTCCAGAGCCTTTTGAGACTGTTGCAGTTGACGAATTTGATTTTCGTGCTCCTTCATGCGCGACAATGCCAACAGGAGATGGGAACTGGTATCTTTTTGCACATGTTCGGGAATGTCCTTGGCTCTGAGAACTTTCGTGCAGCCCAACTGCTGAAAGGGACAAGATGCTTCCCGCAAGGGACAGACTTCTTGCAAATGACGCAGTTGTTGATACTTGGCAAACTCATCGCCGCACTCGCAGGTAATCCGTTTATAAGGACACTCCGTCTCGACATGGGAATCCAAGTACAACCGAGACATGATTTCCTTACATCCTTCGTTGGAGCAAGCAACCCATCGAAACTCGCATTTGTCGTCCTTGCAAGCCAACAGACTGTGACACTGCAATTGAAAGTGCGGCCGATCGAGGCGTTTCACGGTACAAAACGCCATGGCGGTGCGTTCATTTGCAGTGAAGCATCTTTCCGAGATGGATTGAGAAAAGGGCTTCAACAGAGGAATGGTTGTGTCACGCGTTTCAAATTTGGGAGTCGATACCAGGACGGCTCGAAGTATATTGGACGATTTGTATTTTGCAACTTGATCGTCGGCAAACTTTTGCAGTGATTGATGGAGTTTGTGGAGCTGGTAGAAGGAATCTTGCTCGTTGGTGTCCCCGTCACCAGTAGAAGCAGCACTGGGTATACTGTTTTTGAGCAAAAACTCCACCAACTCGGATTTAATCCGCAGCAACGTCGTATCTTTGACGGTCGCTAGAACGTTGGACGAAACTGCATCAGCATCGGAGCCGGTGGTTGCAGATGCCTTGGGGGTCGAGATAATGGCGACAAAGGCCAAGACTTCCAACAACACTCGCGCCAAATCTCGAACTGCTTTGGAATCGCAGTTTCGACATCCCTGCTCAATTGGTTCCCCTTCCACTTCGTGCTTGTCATGTACACTCTCCGTCGAAATCGACTCCGGGACAAACACGGCCGGCCGTTGCAAGACACGATAACGGACCCAGTGCAGTGGTCCCCGTTTCGGCTTGGCATCGTTGACGGCCTGAACAGAAAAGTCCCTAGCGTATTTCCAGTCTCCTTCGTGAAAGGGACACTCGTCCTGCTTCCATTTCCACGTACTTCCCCCCAGCAGTGCTTCGGCAGCTTCTTCCAACGTCTTCCAGGATTGCGAGCCGTCCAACGTTGAATAGCATCCTCGATCGGTGGGCATGAGCGATCGATTCCATCCTCGACCGATCCAATATCGTTGGTTCTCGTGAATTTGGACGGAGGTTGTGACTTTGGATACCGTGTCAATATCGACAAACGACAAGATACCCATTTTGGTGCGTTCTGTTACGTTGATTCTGGGTCTACTTTCTACGTGCTACAGGGGTTTTTCTTGCTCTTCAGCTACCGAAGTTAGACGGTGTCTCTTGTTTGAAGACAAGAATGGCAGAGAGAATGAGCGAAGTATACTGTAGTTCATGTAAGTAAGTTACGTAAAGACATCTCCACAGCGGAGGAGGTCTTCCCAAGTCTTCCCGTCTTTGCCAAAGTTGGCGTTCGAGGCCAAAATGTGAGGTGTTTTCAAAAATCTTGGTCATCCGCTCTGCAAGCTTAGATCTTTGATATCCAGCAGTGATCGAGCATCTCTTCAATCTTCCAAGAAAACAGATGAGCCAAAGAATTTTGTGTCCCTGCCTACGGTACTGATGCCTGCTATCGATAATGATAACCCTCTTGTCGCATTGGGGTCTTCAGTGCTGGCATTCCTTGAAGTGAAGATAGAGTTGCAAAAAGAGACACCTATCGGGCTTGACTACGGAGACAACGAAGCAGTATTGCAGAGCCTAGCAATGTGATGGTACGTTCTGTTAGGAAGGAGCATGCTCAGTAGATCTACACTTGGGTTGTTTTGGCAATAGTAGCAATAACCAAAAGCCAGCGTATTGTATTTTGACTACCTCTCGGAAACGGCCCCGAAAAAACAGTCACTGCCACAGTGCTCCCGACGTGACAGCTTGGCATCCACGCAGGAAGAGCAACTTCCAATAGAAAGAGTCGCTTGGCATGGATATATGTTTTCAAGGTTAGGAGGTCTATTGAAAGTTTTGGTTGCTTCTGAAGAAGGAAGGAGGGTTACGGGATGATGCCAGTGGCAAAGAGCAGCACAACGACACAGACAATCACAATGGCCATGATGTAGCTAAAAAAATACACGAAAGAGTGAGTCCAATCAAAGAAAGAAACGTCGCAAACCGTACTACAGTGAGTTGAGCGAGAGCCAGACGTACCATTGCTTTTTCCGAATGCTGCTTTGATATTGGATGGATTCGTATACATCGACATTGGCGTCTTCTATGTAATCCCCCGCCTGTTTGACTTGGAATTCAATTTGATCCAAAAGTTCTCCCTGTTGTTCTGTGAGCAATGCAAAATCCAAAAACATTTGATGCAGTTCTGCCACACTCGATTCCAACGTAAGGACATCTTGATATTTCCCGGCGACCTTGGCGTATGTTGTTCTGTTTAAGAAAAGGAAGAAAGGATTGTCAGATGGATGATCGTACACGATCTTATAAGCACCCCAACATACACCTTCCACGACGTTGACGCAATCTGTTAAGCACTACGTACTTGATTTGATCATTGACACCACCCGCGAGAATTTGTTCACGGTAGAGTGCATCACGACCTCCCTCGCTTCTCATGACGGCATCAATATCTTCATCGGTGGCATCCGGTTTGACCGTCTTGACCTGTCGCGCCACCTTCTTCTTGATATCTGTCTTGTACTTTTGCTGCGCATTCTGGTAGTGTTTCATCTCATCAATAAACTTTCTCGTGAGTGTGTTGCAGAGATTGTCTCGGACACTTTGATAATCAAATACATACAAGTTGCGCAGAAAGAAAGAAGCACGGTGAGATACCAAAATCGTGACGGAACGCAATCCAATCAAACAGATACCCCAGGCAACACCACACTCAATTGACTCCACTGCACTTGTCTTACCGCAAATCACTCGCGTTGATTTTCCCCTCGGCTTCCAGTTTTTGGGTGTCTTCTTTCAAAAGGCCCAACATGTTTTTGGTACGCTTGGCGCGGTTATTGGTGGCGTCAATCAGCGGCTTGAGCTTGCTACTCAGTTCGTTTTCCTTTTCTGTGGTAGTTGCCTGAAGTGCCTCTTCATTGATATCACCAATCTTGGTAGTGGCTTTCTTGACATGGTCGATATCATCCTTGATTTTATCGACTTCGGTGAAAAAGTGGTCCATGTAGTTGGGTTGTTGGACTTGTTTTTGCATTTCGACATCTCCTCCCTCTGGTTCGTCCTCGAACATGTCATTATCGTCGTCATCGTCGCCTGCAAATGCGCCGAGGTCTCCCAATCGATCGTTCATGGTTGCTCTTTTGATGCTTATTGTAGTGCAAGAAAGATCGGAACAGCAGTACTGTACTTGCCTCGATCGATGGTCACACTGTTGTTGTTTGTTGGAAGAGCCGAGGGTGGTTGCCGTTTCGCTGGAATGGCATGGATACCCTGGCGTCTTTTGTGCCTGGATCTTTTTTCTTTCGCGACTTGGCGAACCTTCTCAACCTCAACCTTAATCACTCAGAAAGCCTCAACCCTCCACAGCACGTTTTGTTTACAGGTGCTTCTTGTCGAATGGCTGTCGGCGTGTCGGTCTACGGACCAACCTACCGGCATCGTCGCAACATTCGACAGCTGTAATAAAACATCATTTGGATAGACCATGGACTGGAACCCTCATCATCATCATCATCATCACCATCATCATGCCCATCATGAGCAGCAGGATGATGGTCGTCAAGGGACGACCATGGATTGGCCAACAACGGCGGAAGCTCGGCATCCGTATCCTGCCGTCTTCTTTCCACAGCAGGAACAACATCATCACGACCATCAAGATCCATTGCAGCCTCATCCATTGCATCCATGGCGACAACCAGCGTACGGTCCCTTGGATCCTCATCCAATGGACGATGATGATGATCCTTTCAATGCCCAACCGCTCGATATTGAGCCGGTCGAGCTAGACCCGCCACGACGTCACGACAGTGACGAAGAAGAACAGCCACGAGGACAAAAGCGAAAGACTCTTGCTGATCCAGAAAGCAGCAACTCGCAACTGCCAAAGCGCCAAACACTTGAAGAAGATCCTCCTCCTCCTAAGGTCAATTTGGGCCAGTGCAAATACACTCCCACCAACAATTTACGGACATGTGCCAAGGGGGGCAAATCCACATTTGGCTCGAAGGAAAACCCGCGCAGCACCAGCTATGGTTTCATTGATGGACGAAGCAATGCCCAAGCGTGTTTTGAACAAAAAGTACAGGCGCTCAAACAATACAAAGATCAATATGGACATCTCAACTTGCCGCAGTATACGGACGATCCCAAACATCCCCACCGTCGTCTCTATGCATTCCTGTTTAATCAACGCAAATTCTACCGACTCTTCCAAAAGGGCGTCAAAGTGCCATTGACACAAGAACGCATTGACTTGCTCCACAATACACTCGGAGCGGACCATTGGCTGGCACCCAAAGAAGGAGAAGAAGCATGGCCCGAACGAATCCAACAACTCCACGAGTTCCACAAGAAGTATGGACATACATGTGTCAAAGCTGTGGATGCGAATCATCCCCTCATCAATTTTGTAGCTTCCATCCGCAAGGCATACAAACACTATGAAGAAAAGAAGGAGTACGAACGAAAGAAAGCGGCTGGTGAATTGGACAGTGATGACGACGGACCCTTTGTCGGCACGTACCAACCCAGAACCAAAAAGAAGGCAATGGTGGGACGAATGGCACCACCCGTCCATACTAACAAGGCAGCATTATTTGGTGGTGGTAGTAGTACAGAGCAAAACAATGTCGACGCAGCCAATGACACTCAGCAACAATCGAGAGGAGAAAAGGAAATTGCTGCTGTTTCGGAAAACGAAGGAGCAACGACAGAACCAGCCACAGAAGGTGAAACTGAAAAGGAACCGGCCAAGAAGATCTATATGGTCAAGCCAACTGGACATGGGCCAAAGAGCTCGGGTGTCAGCAAAATCCCCGTCTTTTATACACCCGATAAACATGCAGTCCTAGAGGCCCTGGAATGTCCCTTTATGGACTTTTTTTGTGACCATCCGGATTCCAAGCTGAAGAAAGTCAAGATGGCGGACTCTCGTTGGTACCAATCGGCAGAACAACTTCGTGCAGTACGCCAGAAGGAACCCGACAATCAATTCTTGACGTATGTCACCAATTATCGTCAGCTCTCTCGTTTGGAGGCGTGGGTATTTCGCAATCGAGAAGCCTACGAACACCTCCTTAAAATGAAACCACACATTTTGGATAGAGCCAAAGAACTCCCCGACGATGCTCCTCGCTCGCACAAGCTCTTGCGCAAGCTCTTTGTGCAATTGCTCCAGGTGGATATGGGACTTGAAATGGACCCCGCAATCTGCAAAAGGATACTGGATGAGCAAAAGAGGGCTCATGAAGACAAGTTGCGCAAAGAGAGAGAGGAAGAAGCCCGCAAACAGTCACCCGAGTACAAGTTAGAGCTGGCAAAGGAAAAAGAAAACGCGGCCAAGGAGAAGTTGAGAGCAGCGGAAGAAACGCTCAAGGAAGCCCAGAGAGTAGTGGATGAGGTATGGAGACCTGCATGGCTGCTATTGGCGTTTTTGGTGGTGGGGGAGTGGCATCCTCTTCTTCATTTGCCTTGCGTTATATTAGATGAAGCCTCACTTTGACTGCCCTCTCATGGGAACTGCCCTCTGATTGTTTCAAAACTCCTGCCCCAAGGCAAGGGAGGAGGCCGATGCTGCCGAGTCGGAGCGCTTGAGAATCCAAGGTATGATTACCGAATCTCCACTTGGCAAAGACGCAATAGTTCGTCCCCGGGGTGGAAAACGTGAAAGTGGACGCGCCAAAATCCTGCGAATGACGCAGCAGAATGTCCGAGGAGTGGGTGCAATGACATTCTATTCCATCAAGTTCGTTGAGAGCGGCAATGTCGAACATTTTGTCGACGGCGCTTTCATAGAACGACTTGACCAGAAAAGGCCTGCTCCAAAACCTGCCCCAGTGACTGCGACAGCAAAAGCTCACGGTGCGCAAGTCCCTCCTCCCCTTCCCCCAAAGCACAAGGAAGCCTCTCCAGCCACGAACAAAGCCGAGGTGTCACCGCACACTGCACTTTTGGTAGCAGCTGCTCAAAAAAGAGCACCCTTGAATGCAAGACTTAGTGCAGGATCATCCATGGCGAAGGGCAAAGCTGAAAAGGGCAAGTCGATTTCTTCTCCATCACAATCTAGACCCAAACGGAAGACCCCGCCTCAAGAAAACACCAAGGAGAACCACGCTGAGGTGCCTGTAGAGGTTCTCTTGATTCGCAACAAGAAAGAGAAAAGCTGGGGAATGACTCTGGGGCGGAGTCAATCTGGACGGGCTCGTATTGAAGGCTTCACTGAGGGACCAGCATCCCGGCATGACAATATCCTGGCAGAGGATGAGATTGTCAAAGTCAACAGCAAGGATGCGCACACATTTCGTGAGGTTGTGGAAGAGATCCAGGCATGCCGACGGCTCAGTCTCAAGCTCAATATCATGCGCAAGGAAAGACCTCTCCCTTCTCCACCAGATACAATGACAACTCGTGGGCGAGCAAAGAGGATGGTGGCTGAAAAGCTTTTGCAGTTGCGCCGCTAGTAGGACACAGTGACACAAACTCTGAGAAAACACATAATCGAGAAATAAGGGCAGGAAACATGCAAACATGAATTATAATAAATTGTAGGATAGTCCCTTTTAAAACTAGTGGTTGATCAAGAACGAGTGAGCCATCCAGTCAATCTCAATGTAGTCGCCACGTTTTCGATGTGTGTTGTCTCGGGCCGGCTTGGGAGGCTCCTTCCTTTCAGGTTCTGGCGTTGCCGTTTCTGCTGCAGCTGGAATCGAATCCTCGGTGGACTTCGCGGGAGCGGTGTTGTCCGTGGTCGGTGCAGCCTCTGTCGGGAGCTCCTTCGGCTCAGGTTCCGGTGCTTTGGTTTCTGGTGCTTTGGTTTCCGGAGCCTTCGTTTCCGGTGCTTTGGTATCTGTTGTTTGTGCTTTGATCGGATCCTCGGTCGTCTTTGCGGGCATGTTGTTGTCCACAAGCACTTCTGACTTAGCCTCGGTTTTTGCGACGCTGGGAGCTGGTTTTGGCTCCATATTCTTCTTTCCGCGCCCTCGCTTCTTGCGTTCTTCCTTTACTGGAGTTGGTTTCTTTGTCGGAGACGCCGTAGGAGGATTGGTTGTCGGAAAATTTGTCGGCGGTGCCGTGGGTCGTGGTGTAACCTGCTGCTGCCTTTCTCTTTTCTTTTTCTTCTTGTCTCGTTTCCTCTGTTCGTTTTTGGCTGCTTCCAGTGCCATCTTTTCCAGTGTCTCTTTGCTTTCGGTAGCAGCCACTGTCACAGGAGGTTCTGTGGCCTTTGGGGGCTCTGTGGCTTCATTTTGCTTGGGCACTTCCAGGCGGGTGACAGACATTTCAGTGGCAGGTTGGTTTTTGGCTTTGTTTTTCTTGTCTCGCTTCTTTCGGAGTTTAGGGGATTCTACCTTGGGCAAGGCCACTACGGCGGCAGCGGTGGGTGGAGGGTCGGTGCTGACAACAGGCGGTTCCGTCGCTGGAGGAGTGGTTTCGGCTTTGTTGTTGGCAAGCTTGGCTGCTTCTTCCTGTTGTCTTTTCTTTTCTGCTTCAGCTTTCTCTTGTCTCTTCCTCCTCTTTCTCTCCGCCTTTGATTCCTGTGCTGCTACCCCAACATTCACAGTAGTGACAGGAGCACTGGTTTCCGGTTTGGGTGCGCTGGTCTCTGGCTTTGGAGCATTCGTCTCTGGCTTTGGAGCATTCGTCTCTGGTTTGGGTGCACTTGTCTCTGGTGCCTTGTTGGCCAGTTTGGCCTTTTCTTCTTCCTGTTGTCTCTTCTTTTCTGCTTCAGCTTTCTCTCTCTTTCTCTTCTTTCTCTCCGCCTTTGTCTCGCCAACATTCACAGTAGTGACGGGAGCACTGCTTTCTGGTTTGGGCGCAGTGGTCTCTGGTTTAGGTGCAATGGTTTCTGGTTTGGGAGCGCTCGTCTCTGGTTTAGGAGCACTGGTCTCCAGTGCCTTGTTGGCAATCTTGGCTTTTTCTTCTTCCTGTTGTCTTTTCTTTTCTGCCTCAGCCTTCTCTTGTCTCTTCCTCTTCTTTCTCTCCCCCTTTGATTCCTGAGCTGCTTGCTCCTTTTGTACCTTGAAAGCCGGATTGGCCACAATATTTTGGGAGTCAGATGCCACCGATTTTACTGATGCTGGAGGTGTGGAGGTGGAAGGAGTGGTATTTTCTGGCTCTGAGGCAGAGGTGGCAGAGGAAGAGCCGTTTGGATTAGGAGGAGAGGCATCCGTTGGCAAACTCTTTTTCTCGACAGGTTGGGACAAGGAAGGTTGTGGTAATGACCCTGTCTTTTCGGCAAGTGGTTCCGTTTTGCCCAAACCATTTTCTTCTTTCACTTCAGGAGCAGCTTCCTTTTCTTCCACGGGATTCTTGCTCAGTAGCAGGCTTTCCTGCTTCCGTGTTTCTTTCTTGGCATCCGTCGACACGGACTCGGAAAAATCGTCACTGCCAGAGACAATCTCATTCTCCAAGGTATCAATGTTGATCCGGACTTGAGATGCCGCCACCATAATCAGGGCAAACGCGAATACCTTTCTAACCCATAGGTGATTCTGGTTATTTGAACTTGATACGCGCCGTGGGCTGGTCGGTTTCTTGATCTGCACCATGGTTGCGTTCTGAGATTGCTACCCTTTTTCCTTTTACCTTTTACCTTTTTATAAGCTTACAAGCAAGGTTGCTCAAAGAAAATGAAACGAAAACAGTGACGGTGTAGAACTTGGCTCCATCGACCAACCGTTATACAATCACGAGTGCCTTGTGGCTGTTAATCATCTCCTTTTCTAGTGGCTTTATCCATGTCTGAAAGCATTATTGATTAAGCAAAGCGTGGGTGAACCAAAGGATGGTCGCAGCCCTCGAGACCTCGAGGAACCGCGCCAAGAAATGGTTGCATCCGACGCAGCCCATCCAACCATGCCCGGAGAGATTGTTGTTCCGGTGACACTCAAGTCATGACTTGCGAGGTAGCCAGCTACACGTAGTCTACAGTATGTTTGTATCGGCAGATTATCGGCAGTTGGCAGTTGGCAGGCCATCCAATACTGTATATGTACGTAAGAGCTCATGCATGCAAGGCAGCTCGCGACCTGCTGGACTTTGGACGATCTGGGACCGGATTGCATGTCACCTTTACCGTACGGTATCCAGACAGAATCTGATGATGAATCTTAGCCAGACCTTTAGAAGTCAAGTGAAGTCGGTCGGGGTTTAGCTGAAGCGCTGAAGCAGCATTTTACTGCAGACTGTTGGGGATTGGCGGTTGCAATTGAGGAGCAACCGGAAGGCAGAGAAGTCATAGGATGGGATTCTTGATCACCGCTACTATTCTAAAGTGATGATCATCGGTCAACTCTCTGCTTCCAAGAATGAACCGTACCTTAGCCTACAGCCAATGTGCACATGAACGCACCTCCTCTCCCTTCTGCATCCCTGGATGCACAACACTCCCACCAGTTCCCCCAAAAACTAGTCACCATATCCTTGCTGGAACCGTACAAAGCAAGCGACAAGTTTCCACTACTAGCTAGCTAACGGTGTTCCATTGTGATTGAGGTAGGTATTGTATGATATCTATACGGGATGATTATGTGTGTAACTATCTGAGTGCGGCATCCATGTACATGCACATGTAGTAGCCAGGTAGACGTAGGCCTTTTATGAATTCATACATGTCCAATTGAAAAGCTCTGGTTGGCTTGACATGGTAAAGAAGCAGTAGCCTGTCAGCCGGCAGATTCCCCTGTAGCAGTCAAAGCGGGATGCCTCACTGCTCGCTTTCATCACTTTCCATTTCCGAATCAGTGGGAGCCACTACTTGTCTTCTGTCAAGCTTTTGGCTGACGGATCGTTGGGGTAACTGCCGGCGAAAGTTGCCCCTTGTGGGTGTCTTGGACCCTGATGGCGATGATAGCTCGTCTGAGGTGTTGGTCCTGAGCGTTCTAGCGGACTTGGACATGTGAGCAAGAGAGACAAGCCCCGGTCTGGATCCTCGACGTTGTGAATCGGCCATTGTGAAAGAAAGGTGGATAAAGGAAGATACTTTTAAAAGGCTCTGAAGAGAGGCGTTGTGGTTGTGAAGGCTGTGTTTGGGGTTTGAGGAAGATTGAAAATTGTGAGAGAAGACTTGCCAATTCTCTGTTGTTGAACTGGCAGAGACCAGCATGATAGGAAGGTAATGGCTCTCTAAATCTCGAGGATTATCAGAAGTCATCTTTCTTCCGATTCTTGCAAGGTTAGTCATTTACTGTGGGGTATGGCGAGTAGTATGCATTAAGGATAGCAATTGAGTGACCTTCATTTGATATGCCTCTCGGTAGATTTGGCATTAATGCCATTTTTTACGACCCCAAGTGACCCAATGCGAGCAGGTACTGTCGACAATCAGTACAGACTACTGGTAAGAGCAAACAGCAAAGGAAGTTGAGGGGAAGGAAGCATTAATTCTATCTCGACTCCAGAGCATCTCAAATTTTAAGGTCTTCATTAAATTTACTACGAGTAGCTGTAGCTAGCTAGTGTACGTACGTACTATTAGGACTTTTTTTACCATGGCGGTACCAGAACTGCACACCCACAACGGATGACCACATGACCAGGATGTATCGTACAGTCTACGGGACCAGCTGGCTTCACTCAGGCTTGCAAAGCGGGAGGAACCTTGTCCCGCAAAGCGCACAGTGAAGTCCCGCAGCTACAGGCAGCTTCGGTTTTATTGATTCAAACGCGAGCCGTCCTTCTTGGTACATTTCTACACGAGCTCACGTAGAAGTGTACTAGAAAACCCGGCACGCGTTTGAATCAATAAAATCGAAGCTGCTCGTACGTCGTCTTTTGTCAAGACATCTGAAAGGCGGCAGCAGGCCGAAAAGGGGCGAAAGGCAGAAATCTGATTGGTTAGTCAAGCTAATATGTCAGCAAATACGTCAGCAAATATGCAAAGTTGTATAACGTACCGATCTAAGTATTTACAAGGAAACTGTGCTACCAAGTTCGTATTTTCGCTTTCTTTTCGATCGAAACGTCGGATTCCGTCGTCGGCAATGACATGCTGCCGCTCGCTTCAACTCAACTCGACAGTCATTATCTCAGCCAAAAAAGCGAGTAGCAGCAGCAAAAGATCATCATGGATAACACAACAACAACAACAGCTACCACAACTGGCGCTACCACAACTGGCGCTGCCACAACAGGAATGGGTTGCCAAAGCCAGAATAGAAACTCCCAGCAGAAGAGAGCATTCCAACTCGCCAAAAACAACAACCCAAGATCATCCAAGAGAGCGAGAGAAGAAGGAGCCCAAACAGCACTGGAAGGAGGGATAGCAGAAGTCTTTGATCCACTCAGACACTGTCAGGTCTGTAGGGCCAGACATTTTGGTCTCAGAGTCCCCAAGAGATCACACTCTGTCTTCTGTATTAAGAATACAATAACAAAAGGACAAGGACCTTTGAATGCACTGACCATGGAGACAATCAAAGAAAGCAGAAGACTCACCAGGCAATTCAGTGCTCCTCTACCACTGAATGAGAGAGGAAGCTGGAGGCATTCCACAAGAGAAAATGGAGAAGCATTCTTTGCT